AAATGATACATTACTATTTGTCTTTACATATTTGCAGTTTAAAAGAAATATGACAGTTTGCTTTCGTGCAGAATCTACTACATAATGAGAAATTACCAAATCTTTTTTGAGATCTATAGATATCATTAAAAATGCCATATGCCATTTGTTTGGTTCGAAGCGTTGACATACCTTGGCAAACAGTAGAGATGAAAAATGGAAAACTGGAAGCGCATTACTAGTAATAAATGACAAGGTCTTTCAGAGAAGTCTGCATGGACATGTCCTTTCTATTGTCGGTATTATTCCAAAACTTACGTAGAAACAACACGACTTTGACAACTCAATTTCTGTAGCACTTACTATCTTGACCGGAATGATACATTTAAAATGATGACTAACTATTAGTTCTGAAAGTTTAAACTTCTGTCGTTTACTTCTCGAGCAATTATGAGAACAAATTCTAATTTTGAGTACAGGAAAATACGCCAGCGGAAGTTAATAATATAAAAATCTCCGATGTTTCTTTAGACAAATGCGATATCTACAACATATATAAAACTGTTCAAATACATTCATCAGTTAAACAGTTAAAAATAGAAGTAATGTAGTTTCTCTCTTATAACGAGAAGTTGACGTTTTTGTTTCCAGTGTGATTAACATATTTTTGAACTACAAATAAAATGCAAAAGGAAAAGAAAAGTTTACTCTTGTTTTATTTCCACGATTACTTTCTATGACGACCGGAAGTGTCGACAGACGCGTTTAACTCTGTATGTTTCGCGTACTCTTCAAGGTCTTTTACTCATAAGTTTGACCTCTTACTCTCTTACACTTTCAGAGGTGTCGCAATGATAACTTCTTATTTTGAAGACGGGAATCAGGTGACCCGAAATAAATTTTGCAAAAATGTCAGACAATACCCTTGACATTTGTAGTCTGAATATTAATATATCAAGAAATCATTTCAAAGACTTCATCTATAAATGAAAATTATGGGAAAATAAAATGCACAAAATAAAAAAAAAACACACACAAAGTAAGTAGGTTTTTCTCTTAACCGGTCGATGTAGTTTTTGTTTCCGACGTGATTAATATATATGTACTTCGAAAGTACTAATGACATACACAATTTTAAATGAAATTTCGGATTTCTATTATCACTTCCTTTGACGACTGGAAGGACAGCTGAAGCTCTTAAACCAAAAAAATTGCCTACATTTCAAGATCTATCAGGCATATAACTTTGGTGGTTTAATCTCTTTTACCGTTATCGATTTGACTGCATTAAAAAAAAAGGAAAATAAGAAATCGTACGACCGGAAGTGAGTTGTGAAAAAAATTAAATATAATGCCCCACTGTGGAATTCTAAACCTCAAAGTAAAGATCAGCACATAACTTCGCGATTCTAGAGTAGACACTCTAAACACTGTGCTACTCGGGCGAAGTGAGAGAGACTTTCAGAGCTAGCTAGTCATCGCGGCTTAATTAGTACTAATTTCCCCTGAATGCAAAAACATCTAATCTATTTTTTCTTACAAATCCTTGTCAGCATTTACTTTCTAATTTCTATTTTTTTTTTCAAAAATAATTTTCAGCAAGATAGTGAAACAAAATTCACATTGCAATTAATAAATGATTTACCACTTGAAGGTATTTTCATCTGATTTTTAAAATACATATCACAACTTACCTCTGTGTTGAAATTTCTTTTTATATACTTTTGTTCCTGGACTCTTAATATTTACAGTCAAACAAATGAACAAACAAAAAATAATTGAGCGATTAAATTTTCGGCATTTTGATCATTAATAAAAGACATTTTAAGCTGTTTGTAAGGAGTTTACATTGAAAAAGATTCATCGGTTTCATTGAAAACACACTTACATTTAATTTTATTATCGGATATTCATGTATGTGTAAAGAAATCTACAATTACTGATAAAATGAAAAAAAAAAAATGAAACGAAATGTTTCTTCTATTGTTTTCTTAACATAAAATAGATCTATTCAAATTCATTGTTTACGAAAAGAATCTTTAAAAAATCTTACTTATTTTACTTATCAATGAATTTCGAAAATATTATTTTCGTGATCAATACTTGAAAGCTTTAAATACTTCTTAGATGAGTAGTAGATGAAAATGCTGAAGTTGTACTTGTATTTTTAAAGGCTTCTTGATTTATTTAAAATGAAGATCATTTTAAATATTTTTTTTTTATTCAAATAGATAGGAAACAGATAACTTTGAGATATGTCACCAAACCATTAGACTTAATATCATTTTTAGCTCTATAAATCAGAGACTATAAGAGCTTATCTGATAGTAAGGTGTCCGTCTGTCTGTCTGTAAACATTTTTTTCATATTTTTGACCTGATTCCAAATATAGAACGTAGCACACAAGTTGACTACACTAAGATACACAATCGCGTTTTGAATTTGATTAACGGTGATGACGTGGTTACTCCAAAAAAATACCTGAAAAAGTTATTCCTCCTATAGTGTTAGATTGATTTTAATAAACATAGGCACACAAGGAGACTACACTAAGATACACAATTCTGTGTTGCCGTGGATACTTAGAATAGAAATTTGAAATTACAAAGTTTGAATATACAAAATTTGAAAGTTTGAAATGCATGCAAAATGCTTCTCATCATAGAGTTTTGTTTGATTTCAATATAACTTGGCACACAAGTACTTAAGATACATTTTCTGTGTATCGGTCGTGGCTACTTAGAATAGAAATTTCTTTAAAATACTTTCAAAATGCTACTTTTCCTACAGTTTTGGTCTGCTTTTAATATAATGCAATTAAGTAGACTACAGCGAGATACCGAATCCTCTTTATTCTTTTATTTTTATTTTTATGAATGGTGTTGCCATGGTAACAAAAATTTAAATTTGTCTAAAATTATTTAAAAGCCTTGAAGCTACTCCTACAGTTTTAGTCTTATTTCAGTCTTGTCACAAAAAGATACTAAATCAAAGATCATTATTCTGTTCACTACTGTTTCAAAGTTTCAAGACCAACTGCTACTTTTCTTGTGATATAAGTGCAAACCAGTAGAGCTACAGTCTCGACAGAGACTTCTGGTTATTATTAGAACATTTCATTTGTAGTTCAGTGCCTTAAGCTCAGTTGAAATCATTAAATTTACGGTCAAAATAAAGCAAAAACCCTACTTTTTGAATATAGAAAAAAAATTATATCTTCAAGTAGTATGTCATCGTTCTTTTTTTGACACCGAACTAAAACTACTTTTAGATTTTAAACGTTGCAGTGGACAATGAAAATATTTGTGATTGTTCCATCAAATGGATTTGTTTGCTGTTTCATTTTTTATTATATTTTTCTGTTCCCACAGATTGTTTTATTTAGCTATTGATGGTCTGAAATACAGAAATATGTCAATAATAAAAAAATACACCCTTCCCACCAAATTATTTACTTTACATTAACATACTTAATAAGTTTTAATTGATAAAGACACATGAACATGAATTAAATACCCAATGTATGATAACAATAAAATATAGATGACATGAATATTTAGAGAAAAAAATGTTTAGGAGTAATAGTAATAGAAATGGTTTTAATAAACAAAGTCAAATTAGATAATGGAAGTAAAATGCCATACGTTTCCTTCCAATAGCTGTCTGAAATTAAAAAAAAAAAACGACTGAAGGAATTTCATTTTATTTAATACATCAAATTACATCATATATTTTGATTTATGATAAAGCATGCGCTTCACACTGATTTTCAAAATAAAAAAAAATACATTTTTACTTTTTAATGCTGTATAAACACTCTTCAGACATCCATAACATACTAGTAAACAAGTATAGAAAAGAGCTCTAGAATGTCCGATTAAAATTATATTTTGAAAAAATTACAGTATGTAGGTACATGTAAAAACGTAGGCAATCTACTTAAACTCACCGAATACATTATTTCTGTACTTACTGTGATTTCTCGGGGAAAAACGATTATTGTTGATCAATCAATATACATGTATGTACAATCAACTTCTTACTTACCGAAACATAAGGTTTTTATTTTTTTTATTTATATTTTCAGAAATGTTGGAAAAAAGAAAATACCTTTATTTCTATACATGCAGATAAATTGTCAAATAAAAGCAAAAACATACTATATATTTTGGTGTTTATATATGATGCTATTTACACCATTCGCTTCACTTGATCATATGTTAGCTTTTTTATCTGCAATGTGCAGTAGTTCATCTCTGATAACAAAGATAACGTTCCGTTAAAAATGCAAATTTTTGAGCTGAATTTTTGACAAACATTGTCACAATGGCCATAATACAAGAAAATGTAAACGAGATTGCATGCTACGTGTAGCCCTGCATCGAAGTAGGGGAATTTTGCCTTTATATCTATATGCTAGCAAGTAAATCGTAGATGGTAAGGAAAGCAATTATTTTGGAATTAACTACTTGAAAGGCTAATTAAATGTAGTTTTCTAAATTTATCTTTTTTATATATTTATTTACAAGATTTTATAAACAATATTCGCTAGATTTTGCCTAACTCAGATCAAGAAATATTGTGATATGTATAAATACGTACAGGAAAATATAATACCTATATTTTGTTATAAAGCAGAATGTCCAACAGAGATTAGTTTTGGGCCGAGAGTTCTTAAGGAATCAAACAATCTTTTGTTACAAGGTTTACTTCAAAATGTAAAACTTTACTAGAGAAAAGTTTACGATAGAACTTTGTACCTCAATTAAATTCTTATAAAACTCAAACAAAACTATAAAAATTAGCTAACATTTCATAAAATAAAGAAAATAACCATATGAGGTAATTATAAATATACAAAATATAATCAAACAAAATTGTTCACAACACATACTCGTATAATAAAGAACTTTATTAGTCAATTTCTTTATTCAAAAATGAATTAATTCTGAAGTCAAAGCAATTTTTTCAAGTCATTCTGGTAAATAAATTAATTTATCTTCAATCAAATTCCATGCTGCTGAAAGTTTCGTCCGTTGGTGAAACAGAATGCTGTGTTTACTCCGAAGAAGATTTTGTATTATCCTCATTATTATCATTGTTTTGTCCTCGATCTACATTAAAAGAATATGGATATACTTAAATAAAAAAAATAAAAATGAAAAACGATAAAAAATTTCATGCAGTAACAATATAATTTTACACAGAATCGTGAAGAACAATTGTTGTTCTCTTAAATTGGGCTGTCCAAAAAATATTTTGTTTAATTAGATAAACAACACTACCACAGGCATGAGATGGTATTCAAACAAAGACAATTTTTAAGACATCAGTACCCGCAACTTTATTTTTAAATTGATTCAGGTTATACGGCGCCGCTGAAGGGCCAGGTAAAAAAAAATATTTTTATTTGTTCGGACAAATTAGAAATTCGTTCGGACGAATTAGTTATTTGTTCGGACGAAGTAGATATTCGTTCGGACGAATTAGTTATTAGTTCGGACGAATTAGATATTCGTTCGTACAAATTAGAAATTCGTTCGGACGAATAAGTTATTTGTTCGGACGAATTAGATATTCGTTCGGACGAATTCGTTCGGACGAATTAGTTATTTGTTCGGACGAATTAGATATTCGTTCGGACAAATTAGTTATTTGTTCGGGCGAATTAGATATTCGTTCGGACAAATTAGAAATTCGTTCGAACGATTTAGAAATTTGTTCGGACAAATTAGATATTTGTTCGGACAAATTAGATATTTGTTCGGACAAATTAGATATTTGTTCGGGCAAATTAGATGTTTACACAAATTATCCTTTAAAGAGAGATATACAATTTGTCTATTCGGGAGGATTCATCCTTTTTTAATACATAAATAGCTCTTTGGACCATGACATACACATGTAGCAACTAGACATGTGATATTAAAGTCGGGTATGTTGATTGTAAATATTCGGAAATAATGGATCTATACCGGTATATATTATTGGCCTAAAGTCTGCCAAGAAGTTACTGCTTCTTTGAAAAGATGAGATCCACTCCTTAAGGTTTTACTCCTACTGCAGGCAATTGGTACGGGAAAAAATTGGCATTGAAAAAGTAAGCCCCCCCACCCCACGAAATAGGACTGTCAACTTTGGGCAACTTTTCCTGAGTCACCCCCCTTTTTTTTGTTTGTCAACTTTTCAGGTAACTATTTTTTTCTCAGGCTCCCCCCCCCCCACTTTCAAAAACGATACTACGTGGCTGCATTGTATTAAAATATCGAGCCTCTTATTCGAGGGTCTTAATTTTTTTTAAGGTGGGGCTTACTAGCTAGGACATTTGTAGAATTGCTTCTATACCGCTGTTCCCACATTTAAGTATTTTGTGATAAAGGAACAAAAAGAGGGAATCTCCATCTCCAATGGATTCTTTCTAAGATCGTTAAAAACTACTATTAAGTATCTATATCAATTTTATTTTATATTTAAATATCAGAAAAGCGCATGAATTAAAACATGCAGGTATAATATTGATCAAATTAAACACACACCCCTTTCCGGGAAAAGGATAAAAAATAGATGAATACATGTACGTTCCTAGAAAGTGCAGTAAAATTTAAAAACACATCATAATGTAATGCAAGTTATGTAAGGTTCTCAATGATTAAGACAATCGATCGTTTTTTAAATAGAGGAGTGGGGGGGGGTTGTTACTTGAAAATATTTTGACATTCATTCATGATTTATTTTCCCCGTAAAAGGGGTTGCTTTCATAATTTCCCTTTCTATGTGAGTCATTGGCCTATCAGACCTTCGAACTCATGGTACTCAACTGTAAAAGCGTATAAACAAAATTAAGAAATGCTGAAAGTGAAATTAAATAGTTTGTTCGACTACATGTACCTCTTCAATAACGGGAGGGGGCTATAATTATGCTCTGAAAATCAATGGACTAGGGAATATACAAGATTGATCGGTTGACCTCGTAATTCATCGGCTCGCAAGTCATATGAACAACCTGGGATCAATACGGACAGGTTCATTTTTGTGAAGTTTTCTAAATTCACAAACAGGAATATTTAATTAAAAACTCATTGAGGACTTTTTAATCATTTTATACACCGCATATGTACCAGATTGATTGATTGAATGTTTTACGCCGAATCGGCAATATTTCAGCTACAAATCGGCTACATATGTATCAGAAATGAATTTCAATAATCATTCACATGTCATGATTAATAACTGCACGGTAGTGAATATGTACATAAAAATCATAAGAAAGAGATCAACATTAAAACGACTTATCTTCAAAATATTTACTGATAATGTTGTTCATTAAAGTTATTTTGCAAGAATCAAAATAAAATGAAACGTCTTGGTGCAAACCGAACATTATTCGCGGTTTCCTGATAGTTGTTCACAATTTCTCTAATTTGTCCGAACAAATAACAAATTCGTCCGAACGAATTTCTAATTCGTCCGTACAAATAACTAATTTGTCCGAACAAATTTCTAAATCGTCCGTCCGAATTTCTAATTTGTCCAAACGAATATCTAATGGTTTAAAGTAGTGAGTTATCGTTCCTAACATAGTGGCGCTACATGTCCCGGTCCTTGTGATACTTCCGCTTCGTAGTAAACACACGTGAAACAATAACGATAAGAGTACATAAGTAAGTAATTAGTTGAATTAGAACACACAACAATGCCCAGTAGTTGCTGCTGTGTACCTGGATGTCATGAAAGAGGCGGGCATCAGTTCCCGACCGAAAAATCAAGGAGAGACAAGTGGATTATAGCAATTAAACGCTTGGACGAACATACGAGAAAGTTATGGGAGCCTTCCAAGTCTGCCGTTGTTTGCAAACGACATTTTAAACCTGACGATTACGTGACAGAAACAATACAAGGTATTGTGAATCAACATTGTTTTGATCACTGTCGAATGTTGTAGCAAATGAAAAGATAACATTTCTTGCAAACTGTGTCAGCTGTGTGTATAGCCGATTTGTATTTTTATACAACCCACTTTTTTTATTTTCATGTTCTTTAAGTTGCATTAAAAATTTTCATTGAAGCACACATATGTGAAAACGAATAAAAACAGCGTTTTCAGTATCAATAGATATACACTACATTGTTTATCAACAGGACAGAAACCATTACATGGAAGACTAAAGAGCTCCTCAGTCCCTAGTATTTTCTGCTGGACAAAGTCATCGGCGGCATCAACTTCAAGATCTTCTCGAGTAGAAGACCGGGTGCAGAAAAAGAGAAAATTTGAGGAAGCTTGCCATGATGACCTTGAGGACAGCATTAATAAATCAAATGTAGATTTTGTTGAAGAGATTGTGTCAGCTGATGAGTCAACAAGCAATGATACTAACATTACATCATATAGTCAAGAATTTAGAGAAATGCAGACACAAACACAACCACAACCATTATTTTCAGTAGATCATTTTGAAAAAGATGATGCTGCCATTCACTTTTATACAGGTCTAGAAACATATAGTAAATTTATGTATGTACTTCATTCACTTGGACCTGCTGCATATTGTCTCAATTATATTTTTTTTCGAGTGCAAGGAGTGTCGATTCCAGATCAATTTTTTATGACTTTAATGAAATTAAGAAGGTACACTACAAACTTTGAACTTTCTAGATTTTTCAATGTATCTGAGAGCACTGTAAAAAATATTGTTTATACTTGGATTATATTCATGTCAAAGCAATGGCAAGAGGTGTCCATATGGCCACCTCAATCCCTTGTCAGATATTTTTCACCTTCAGATTTTAAAGCTAAATTTCCTAAGACTAGAGCAATTTTAGATGCAACTGAGTTTCCTATTAAAAAACCAAGTTCACCAAGAGCACAACAAGCCACATTTTCAACCTATAAAAACAGAAACACAATGAAAGCTTTGATAGGTTGTACACCAGGGGGTCTCATAAGTTTTATTAGTCCAGCATATAGTGGTTCAACCAGTGACAGACAAATTGTAGAAAGAAGTAGTTTGAAAAATCTGTGTGATCAAGGTGATAGTTTAATGGCTGACAAAGGTTTTAATGTACAAGATATATTTGCTACAAAAGATATTACAATAAATATTCCTACTTTTTTTAAAAACAGAAATAGAATGTCAGGTACTACAGTTTTGCGTGACAGAAAAGTTTCGAGCAAAAGGGTACATATTGAAAGGATTATTGGTTTAGGAAAAACGTATCAAATTTTAACACATCCTCTTAAAAGTACTGAGGCATGTTTATCATCAGATATTGTATTCGTTTGTTACATGTTGTGCAATTTTCGCACTGGAATTATTCCAGCAGATGCTTGATTGTTTTATGTAAATTAAGTGCATTTTAAATGCAGTTAAGTTCAATTAAAATACCACTTGACTATTGTGAACCCCTTTCGTCATTACTTCATATTACTGTATATTAAGGACAGAGATATTTTCAAAATTTTGAACAGTCATATCTCTTAAACTTTTAATCATGTAAACATTACCAAGTCATAATCAAGTACATTTGAGATTTGACTATTTCACAAGATCAATTGATTGTATGGAATGTGTAAGAATTTTTTCTACATGTACCTTTTTTTTTACTGAAATTCAATGTCATGTCAGATTTTCACTCATTGTCATTGTAGGACTTGTAGTAATATTTTTCAAGTACTGCATCCTTGAAGAAATTGGCGTAAAACTTTTCTAATTTGTCTAGCATTTCATGTATGAATGTGTCATCCCGTTTGATTTGAATATACACAATGTCATTTACAGTTAAATTATTTGCCAAACAAACAATCAGAATACAAGATTTTGCACCAGTACAAAGAATTTGTCCTTGTATTTGATAAAAATAATCATGATTATTATCAAGAAAGTATTTCCCTTCCTGGTTTGTTTTCAAATATGGCACTGTAGTCGGTGAAATTTTCTTGTTTCTAGAAACATATGGACATTTCACCTCTACGAGTTCCTCTTCATTAATGATTCCATCTGGTGATGCAGCTAGAAATGGATAATCTTTACAAATTATTAGGCCACTTGCCTGCACATCTTTATGGTGATCATTTTTAAACTTCTTTATGGCAACTGATTCATGCTTGTGGCCGTGTTCAATGGCATTTGATTTTATATTTTTGGTAACTGTGAGAGATTGAGCAAGTTTTCTTTTGTCAGTTCTCTCTGTGCATTTGCATATCCGCCCAAACATTGATGAAGTTAAACGCTTCGTTCTCTCTGCTTTCCAAGTTTTATTATTGCCCTGCCCCATTGTTTGATGTTTGATCTTCTCAATTTGAGAATTGGATATATGAGAAATGAATGATGTTTGAAGGAAATGGTCTTCAGGTGTCAGTTTTAGGTAGTCATGGTCATGTGCCACTGCCATCATATTGGCAGGGGTAAATGTTTGGAATATTGGGACTTTAGAAATTCCAGGGAAATTGAGCCATACATTTTGGAAGTGATCAGGATATGCTGGGTTATTTTGAAATTTTTCTGGTCTTGGGTCAAAGTTGACAGTTGTAAATTCATCAGCACCAGGTAGATGTAGATCTGTTGATTTCATTGGGCTACCTTTAAATCTTTTACATTTATGAAAGGTCTGTAAACGCTGTGTGCAAGTTTCTTCTGTCTTGATGAACTTCTGTTTTGCAAACATAACCGCCCCATACATGACAGCTCCAACATGTTTACAGTGTGCATTAGGCCCCATGCCTGCAGCACATTCACACTGAGCTTCCGATATTGACCCCTCCTCAGTTATTTTGAGATCAACTGTATACGACACACCTTTTCTCATTTCGGCACGACACTTGCCTTTGATGTATGTGAAGGGGTTAATATCAATGGAGATACGGTAACATATTAAGAAATTATCATTGTACAGTTGAATAAAATGATTATCAAACTTCTTTTCAAATAGTTCAAAATAGGCTTGAACCGTTTCCATAGTCAAACCACGGAATGGGGAATCGGAATTGACGTCCGAGTATGTATCGTAATCAGGTAATATCATGTAAAAATCTGGGTCAAGCTTCTCAACTCTTCCAAAGTCGGCATTTCTATCGTATGCGTCAAGTCTGTTAAAAATACAAATACTCGGTATTTATCATGTTTTTAATCGTTTAATTTTGCAAATATTTGCGGCATTACTTGATTTACCAATTACAGAAATTACACATGTTAGAGTTGGACATATAGCATGCGGTTTTCAGTATCGAATTACCTGTCGACCAGTTCTGCTTTCCGACCCGATATTCTTGCATTTCGTTTTCTTAGTTCGTTTTTAAGCTCAATTATACTCAAGGAACCGTATTTTGAATTATTCATGATAATTTTCAACTGTTTTGATCTTAAATACACACGTAACAAAATACAACAACGAACGATAGTAATCTCGCATCCAATGTAAACAAGATGCTATGGACCGGGAATAGTATCGCCGCCTAGCGGGAGGCAGGGGAACGCAACTCACTACTATCTCCCATTCGTCCGAACAAATAACTAATTCGTCCGAACGAATTTCTAATTTGTCCGAACGAATATCTAATTCGTCCGAACAAATAACTAATTTGTCCGAACAAATAACTAATTTGTCCGAACAAATATCTAATTTGTCCGAACAAATAACTTATTTGTCCGAACGAAAATCTAATTCGTCCGAACGAATTTTTAATTTGTCCGAACGAATATCTAATTCGTCCGAACAAATAACTAATTCGTCCGAACGAATTTCTAATTTGTCCGAACGCATATCTAATTCGTCCGAACGCATATCTAATTTGTCCGAACAAATAACTTATTTGTCCGAACGAATATCTACTTCGTCCAATCAAATAATTAATTCGTCCGAACGAATATCTAATTTGTCCGAACAAATAACTTATTCGTCTGAACGAATTTCTAATTTGTCCGAACAAATAAAAATATTTTTTTACCTGGCCCTCCAGCGGCGCCGTAAGGTTAGGATAGGATAAAATCCAATAAAATAGGATTCACACACGATATAATAGAATTCCCGTGTGATAAAAGAAAATAAAAAATCTATTACATCCAAACACGATAAACGCAAGACTTAATAAGATAAACTTTTTGTTTTATTGCCGTGACATGGAACCTTGGTTTTTCAGAGATGTCTCATTAAAAAAGACCCACACTTCCACTTCAAAGTGCCGACTGCAAGGTGAATTGGTTATTAGTGCTACTTTTTCCACATACATGTAGACAAGTCGCAGCCAATATTTTAACTGGCGACCTTTCGATCATGGACCGAGTGACCTAATGATTAAGCTACCGTGACGGTCTAGTAAAATACGAGCTATATTTGTATATCTCATACTTATTTTAATTTTTTTTAACAAAATTGCTGAATTAGGTTTATAGATTATATTTTTCGCCGAAGACCGTCTGCAATTCTCGCATTCCAGTCGGTCATTTTCCTGTCATATGTGCGAGGAACGTTAAAGAACAACATTAAGTCGGATACTCCAAAACATAGTCTTTGTAATTATCGAAGTATGCGTTCTATCATACTTTAAAATGTTGTTAGAATTGTGATGTAAACGTTTTTTGAAAATTTACCGAGCTTTAAGTTTTGTAAATCGAACCATCGTATTAGGTTTTGTACATTTTTTTTTAATTATTTAATTTCCTGACTAGACATTATGATTCCAGCAGCAGTTTTTAGGCATTAAGAGATGTTTTCAGCTATATTATTTTTTCATATATCCCAAACAAAACTATTAGTTTCTTTTCATTTAAAGCAAAAAGATAAACGCACTTTGGATTGAAAAAAGACAATTCATTAGCAAAACGACGAAATAACAGTTTAATTATTACTTAATGAAATTAATCATTTAGACATCAAATATTTTTTTATCAATGACAGTAAAATGATCCTTCTGTGGAAGATTTTTGGGCCTCAGAGTTGATGTTGTCTATATGCAATATTTAATGAAAGATTACATTATATCATTTTGGAGCTACAATTTAGTTCAACAGCTATACCTTTCTATGCAAAAACAAACTGCTACACAAAAGACTTAAATTGCTCATTTTGGGTTATTTTTCAAAGATTTATTGCTATAAAAAATGTACTAATTTTTTTTTATTTCATAAATACATTTCTTTCCAGTGGTTACGTTATCAAAAACAAAATTTATTTAATTTTTAGTAAAAGAAAAGATCATTCATATGTACAAAATATGAAACATAAGTCATATAATCAATTCATCTTTGGCCATTTCACGCATTTTGTAAAAGCCTTTTTACGATACTCTTTTGAAAAGAAAATTGATAAAGTTTGGCAAAGTTTTAGTCGAAATATAATTAAATGCTTGTATAAAACAATTGTTTTACGTGATATTTCACCAAATTGTTTTTGTTTGCCCTGCAAAAGAGTAGTACTGCAGTTATGGAGAAAGTCCCTTTAATATTTTTTTTTAAATGTTACACAAAAATATACTATTCTTTATCCTATTACATAATTCTTCTACATAGAAATATCTAGATATTTTTCATGGTGTTTTTTTTTTTTTACATTTATTTCCATTTTGTGAAAGTGTAGTAAAATAAATGGGCAAACACGTTGGTGAATCACGGAAACCAGACCCATTGGCAAGTTCGATAATAATAGTAATTCAGAACGACCTCATACTTTTATAGCAAATTAAGGGATTTCCATTTGTTTCGACGTTTACCGGTATATAACCTTGCCAGATACAATGTCTCACGACGTTTACCGGTATATAACCTTGCCAGATACAATGTCTCACGATCTTTTCAGCACATATACATCATAATTACACATGTGGTTATATTCATTTTGACTCGAAGAATACTCATTTGCATACCAAAAAATGATCATCTAGCAAAGAGTTCGAACAGAATACAGCTTTTAAGATATTTTGCTAGATGTAAATGAACAGACTTATTTTCTTGAATATTTACGTATTATTTTTTTTTTATTTTTTTTTAAACTTTGATATTTCTACTTAATTAAACAAATATCTTCTTGCACGCTGAACCGTGTGGATAGAGGGTCCTTAATAATTCTTTTGATTTCAGAGACAATTCCACACGTTTACAATGACTTTATACATGGAAGAAAATGGACTGTGAATTAAAGAACTATACTCGGTACATTGCATATCTTTGCAATAACCAAAATTAAATTTTGAAAAATTCTTAAAATGTGTTGTGTTGAATAAATTGTATGAAAATTATAATTTAACAGAACATATAATACTTTCAATATAGGTTATTGACAATTTTAGTTTTTTATGACGTCACAAAATAGTCGCATTTTGCATTAACTTTTAGAAAAAGGACAAAATGGACTAAATTCCGACAATTTTAGCTATAGACCTTACAGAGCACAGGTCTGTTCAGAAACAATATTTGCATATTTAATAGATATTATCATTCTGCACATTATATCAAAATATTGATGCAATTTTTACATTTTTCTGTATAAATCATAGAAATTTTAAATTTACGACATTTTACTGACGTCATTTCAAACATATAACGTCATTGCTTACGAAGATATTCAGTGCTTTGAAGTCAGCATGTATCCCAATTTTTTAGAACATAATTAAAAATTACTCCGTCAAAGTTTGATATTGGAAACAAATATTGGTTACTAACAAAAAAAGTCATTAACTTTAATTCAACAATCAAAATCTAAAATTTTTAAAGTATCGTATGTAAAAAGCTTGGCAATGTCAGACTATTAAATTTATGCTAAAGAGAACGTTAATTCTCTTGAGATTTTCGTACAATTTTAGCTTATTAAGTGTATACACAGATATTAAATGATATTTACTTTTCACAAGCTTCCTGCCTTTAAGAGCTTTCAATTCCTCTTCCCTTTTCATTCTATCCGAACGGTTCTGTAAAGGTGAACCTTTCGTATCTGAAATGTATATTTTAGTTTTGTTTTAATTTGACGACCACAAATCATCATAAACCTTCTTTCCCATTCAAAAATTTTTTTTTAAGAAATGTCTCTAATCCTTGTCCAAACAATCGGGTATAACCTGGTTTGGTTCAGTTTACTCTTTTTCATAATCTGCAAGGGGATTTAATGGATACAAATGATTCAACTGGATGTCAAGGGGGTGTGTCCCCATACTAAACCAGACTATACAGAATAATTTGCGTTCCCTTTTTTGAAATCTGCCAATGAAAGGCTAGAAAACAAAAAAAAATTGTCATAAAATAAAGCTTAAAAATACAAAAAAATGCTTTCAAAAATCAAGAACTTTTATTGAGAAAGAGATATTTCTCAGCTATATTAATGACCAACGTGGATATTGCGAACAATATAGCTTACATGTAATAATACCTGTATGTATCATGTATATTTAGAAATCGATGAAACAAAGTAACCATTTTCATATATATATAAAAGGAACCGGTTGATATCCATCATGGATAGGTTGAAGCCGTTACTAGTACCAAAGTTTTACATGTATCTTGATCAGCCGTGTGTCACGTGACTAGTATAAATAGAATTAAATAGATGAAGGTACAAAATGTAGCTAGTGGAAGACAACACACACATTTTTGGAGAAAAAAGCTTAGTTTGTACTGTAAGTTAGTAGTGGTAACTTTGTATGAAATGCGTATTGTAGCTAAGAATTCCTGCATTGTTTTAATTCTTTTATGAAAAAAATATTGTTATGCAGACCAGAACGACTTTCAAGATAAACATGATATAAGCCCTATATATATATATGTTTGTATATTTGTGTGTAAATATTTAACAATATTAATACCATATGAAAGTGATATAACTTGTTTCTGCACTTCTACACCCTAACCGCACCTCACATTAAATATAACTCTCACACAATCACAACCATATCTTACTCCCTTCAATCAGACACAGAGAGAGAGAGTACGAGAGAGAGAAATAGAGAGACGGAGGTAGAGCAGGTGAAAAAGAGAGGGGTACACAAAAGGAAAAGGAACATAAAAATGAAAATGATATTCCAAAAAAAAAGTTTTTCTTTATTTAACTTTTTTATTTAATTGTACTTTTTTGTTTTCTTTTTTTCTTTTTGCTGATGGTGTATTACACTGGCAAGATAAAATCTTTTTTCATGATTACATGTACCTTCATCTTTATTCGAAAAAATATTTTTCAATTTCTTTTCATTTAATAAATTATTAAATGAAAAGAAATTGAAAAATAAAAATATGTTTATTTGAGAATCAGTTATTTGAGCGTTTTTCAAAACATAACGATTTTAATAATGATTGATACCTTTTTTTTTTATATTGAGTATGAATACCTTTCTAGAATATTTTTCTTTAGACATGTCAGATATACACTTTTTGAGTATTATTTAATAATCTGCTTTTTCATTCAGGTATAAGCTTAAAAGAAATGCAAAATAAAAAAAATTAGTGTCAAGAACAATTTTATTATCATTTTATTCAAAAGTGAATTATTAAGGAGGAACAGGACCTTTAGCTGAAAAAATTCCTGTCAATGAATTTTTTTCGTATTTTTTATATTTCTAAATAAATATGTACTTAACATTTTAAAACGGTCCTGTCATGGGATTTCTTGACTTATTTAAAAGATATCACTCCACAAATACCGCCCTGTTTAGAGTTTGTACGGAGGTTAGATACTTCATGTTTACGGGCCCATAACGGAGTCCATAATGCGATTTTTTAAGCACAAACGATAAATATGATAGATAACACTATATTCTTAAATATTTCATTATATTCATGGTGTTTAAATTATCTGAAAGCAATTGTTTTAATTTTATATAGTATTTGGGTTGGATAATTTCTGCATTTTTCAAGGCAGCTTCAACGACAAAAACCTCATTTGGAAAAAATTCTGTCAATAAATATTTCTAAATTTAGGATTGAATGTCAGTCCTTCAACGTAATTATTTACTGCATAAATATCACAGGGTGAAGCTTACCTCAATATCGCACAGGACATCGTTGAATTAGACGTAAGCATGATAAAAACGCTTCACGTTTGTATTTTCCGAGTGCGGGAAATCAATTGTGACGTCACACGAAATTATAAACATTCAAAATAATCTAAATAGTGAGAATCTCTGCTACTAAACACGAAAAAAATATTAATTTTAAAAAATCTGCTTCAGAAATTTATCACGATACATTGACTGTGACCTGTTCATTATGAAATAGAACTGATCATGACGGGTATGTGTACTCGTATGTGATCTCGCTGCACTGAAAATTCAAACACTACGTCTATGACGTCACTGACGTCAGACTGCAGTGTAAAGAGAAACAAATGTGTGGATTTGGCAACTTCACAATATCTAAATGATGGCAAGATCTTTAAAAATTTCATTGATAATAATTTCTAAAATTAAATGTTTAAAAAACAATTTTAGCATTTAGAATAAAATTACACAAGAATTGTTGATTTTAACAAAGTTTAACATGTATATCATCATCGATTATGACGTGATATGTCTTTTTAGTCATGTGACATGTGTCCTGTCTCCCCTTAAATGATTTTAATTTGTAGCAATGTCTGTTAAGTGAAATTACTCATCCCATAAAAACTGTAAACATGAATAACATTTATTCTGTTAAGAACTACATAATAGTACTGTATTGACTATAGGTAAAGAAAAACAATATTATTCGGATGGGGGGGATGTTGGCTCAAAGTCATTCACTTTCATGGCAGTGAAGGACAAATTATTTATTTTTTATGTACATGTAATTAAGTCAGATTATTTATTTTCAACCTTAAAAAAAAACAAATCAATAGCTACTAAAACCAGTCATTCGTAATTACAGCCATCAACTTACTTTACATAATTAGATATAAACTTGATTCAACTTTTCTTTGTTTTATTTTTTCTTCAAACTTGTAGCTTTCACTCGTATAAATTAGATTGACATTATTTAGCTAAACGGCGGGATGTAGTTCTCTTATAGTCTAAATCACATTTGTTCACTGCCATTTTGAAAGAAGGCCGTTTTTCATTAAAATAAAAATGTTTAATTGTGTCGACGATTTAAGGAATTTTCATAATAAAAGTGAAAATGGTAATTACCTTCAGTTACTAATGCTCCTGTGCCAGCAGTATCTCCATCTTTTTTATCTGTTGTTTGCAAACGACAAGAACAAACACAATTATACTTTACTCTTCTATTGAATACATTCATTTATATATTTATAATGAATGGAAGTTATATCAAACAGCAATCGTACATGTACAATGTAAGTAAGTTAATTCAGGTTTATTTTTAACAAGATGTGTTTGTGAAACACTGATGCCCACGTATTGCAACATAGCGATGATTAAATATCTCAAATGCAACTCAAATATATTGTCACAAGAAATACAATTTTGAAATATAAAAGCCCTAGCACCACCTTTTAAAAATTATGGTTCAAAGCTTCTTCAAAGTTTCTTAAGAATAGGTGAGCCAAACTCTTACGTCAAGATCAAAAGGTCAAAGTTGTTGATTTCTGAAGAAGTTCTTCTTAGAAAAATTACATACTTGAAGTATGATAGCCTTTCCTCTAACCGCTCAGAAAGAAGAAGGTATGGTTTAGCTTTATTGCGCCCTAAAAATGTAATGACATCAAAAAGTTTTGAAACTGGCTTAAATATTAGTTAAATAAATGACTCTGATAAATCAGGAAAGAATATAACATGAAAGATTACCATTCTGCAAATATGACGTCATTTATGTGAAGCATTTCTCTATTTTCAACAGAAAAAGCCCCAAAATGCCACATTTCAAGGGTGATTTTCCCTTAGAAAACAGTATCCAAAGCCGTCGCTCACGTTAATTTTTTTTATATTTTGTGCATAATTCAATAACAAATCACATATCTAAAGATCTTCGTGCCCAGTGGGAATCCGGGTTAGAATAGATCCTCAGTACCCCCTTGCTTGTCGTAAAAGGCGACTAAATAGGGCGGTCCTTCCGAAGAGACCGTATTAACCGAGGCCCAGTGTCACAGCAGGTGTGGCACGATAAAGATCCCTCCCTGCTCAAAGGCCGTAAGTGCCGAGCGTAGGCCTAAATTCGCAGCCCTTCACCGGCAATAGCGACGTCTCCATATCAGTGAAATATTTTGAGAGGGACGTTAAACAGTATACAATCAATCAATAAAGATCTTTGTGGTCTATGCCATTGGACAATGTTATCTGAAAGAAAATCCCATTGAAACTTGGTGTCTTCTGCAACTTTTTAAGAAAATACGGGAAGATCAACATGTTTATGACGTCATAATTAGCATGTAAAAACACATGTGAGAAAAATAACTTGAATGATTTTTTGCACTGAATTTCAATTATTTAAAAGCATGAGTTTTCAACTTTTACACTAGTTTCATTTTTTTTTTTAGAAAATTACTGGGCAAAATGTATATGCAAACCATAGCTTCTTCTCATGGCCAAAGTTAAAGTAAAAGTTTTTAAACGTAGGTCAACCTCAAAGGATTAGGTCGAAGGGTCACATTTTTTGGTATTCTTGTCAGAGTTTGTCACAAGGATTACATATGTGAAGCACGAAAACCCTAGCCTTCTCCGTTAAAAAATTTAACGATAAGTTAAAAAAAATCAAAGATGATCAGATGGAATCCAATGAAAGTTCTTTTTACACAAAATACACGTGAGCGGAATGAAGGTCCTTGCAGTAACCGTTTAATAGTGATGGCCAGTAGAAGTGTGATAGTTATTATGTCAAAGTAGGTCAAAACCCAAAGTCAAGGTCAAGAGGTTAAATTTGCAGCCACCAAAGAAGACTTGTCAAAAGAAATACACCTATGAAATACAAGAGGCCCATGGGCCATATCGCTCATTCGAGCGGTGTGGCTAAGAAAAAGTAGTAATTGGTTTACTATTGAAAAGTTTAAATCCAAAAGTTTGGCCCCGTCCTACCCCCAGGGGTCATGATTTGAACAAACTTGAGTCTACACTACCTGAGAATGCTTCCATATAAATAATTTCTATATAAAACTTTGGTCGGCCATTGTGGCCCCGCCCTACCCCTGAGGGTCATGTTTTGAAAAAACTTGTATCTACACTACATGTACCTGGGGATGCTTCCATATAAATATGAGCAATTATAGCTTTGCTGTTCTTGAGAAGAAGATTTTTAAAGACTGTTCCTATATATTTCTATATAAAACTTTGGTCGGCCATTGTGGCCCGCCCTACCCCCGGGGGTCATGATTTGAACAAACTTGAATCTACACTACCTGGGGATGTTTCCATATAAATATTAGCAATTATGGCTTTGCTGTTTCTTGAGAAGAAGATTTTTTAAGGATTTTCCTATATAATTTCTCTATAAAACTTTGGTCGGTCAATATGGCACCGCCCTGCCCCTGAGGGTCATGATTTAAACAAACTTGAATCTATACTACCTGAGGATTTTTCCATATAAATATGAGCAATTATGGCTTTGCTGTTCTTGAGAAGAAGATTTTTAAAGAATTTTCCTATATAGTTCTATATATAAAACTTTGGTCGGCCATTGTGGCCCCGCCCTCCCCCCAGGGGTCATGATTTGAACAAACTTAAATCTACACTACCTGAGGATGTTTCCCCATAAGTTTCATCTTTCCTGGCACAGTGGTTCTTGAAAAGAAGATTTTTAAAACATACCATCAAATTTTCACTAATTCTCAATTATCTCCCCTTGAATGAGGGCGTGGCTCTTTATCTGAACAAACCTGAATCCCCTTTTCCCAAGAATGCTTTGTGGCAAGTTTGGTTGAAATTGGCCAAGCAGTTCTTGAGAAGAAGTCGAAAATATGAAAAGTTTACAGACAGACAGACAGACGGACGGACGGACGGACGCCGGACAAAATGTGATCAGAAAAGCTCACTTGAGCCTTTGGCTCAGGTGAGCTAATAAAAACCATAGCTCGAACTACCCAAAAGTTATAGGCAAGGATAATGGTATGTTTTTAGGGACAAACAGACAGACAGACAGCGAGATGTTTGGGATGCCAACTCTACTCTCGTTTTTAGATTTACCTTGAATGTCACTTTACTTTTACACTTGTCATTTACTTCAATTGTTTAAATTGAGAGTAAAATTGTTTTTACATTGACTTTTCATGCAGTTCACTTTTTATTTTTATTCTAAAAGTTATATATTTTAAAGCAAAAAACCAATTTAAGATATGTGCAGCATACATAAGTACCGTCAATGACTGCTATGTGTTTGATTCACACTCATTACTTTCAAATTCACCTTCTAACTCCTCTTCTGACTGCTGCGTTTTACAGTCCCTTTGATTTCTTTCTTTCTTTAAATTTGGAACTACAATTAAAACAAATCCTTTGCTTTTGAATTTATGTGTAACTAAATTTGATACAACTTCCAAAAATCAATTTAAAGGGGCATGGACACAGTTTCAGCTAAAATTTCAAAACTTTTTTTTCCTTTTTTACAAATATATTTTACTAGGGTCTTTCTAACGATCATCTAAAATCGAACGCCAGTTGTCCAGACATAAGACAGATTTAGAGCTCCAAACCTTTCTTATGTTAACAAGACTACTATAATGTTCTTGTTTACACAGGTTAATTAATAAATGTTCGTTTTGTTATAGATATGATATTTTCTATGTGTAAACAAAAACAAGGCACGAGCCTTGTTTACATTATGAAGAACTTAAAGTTCTGTATCTTGTTTGTTATTCAATAAATGATGTTCAAATTTTTGTTAATCAATAGATGATGCCTTAGGTAGGAATTGTAAACATTAACAATGGTTTTAAAAATCAGTTAAATCTGTGTCCAGGCCCCTTTTATATCATTTTACTTCTTCCATTTAATATATAATTTATTCAGTAGTATTAACTAGAAGTGATAGGGAACACATTCTCATGAGTAGTGTATGTTATATTTCGGGTTTGTTTTGAAAGGTAATACTAGTGGATGCATAGTTTTTCGTATGCACAAACAAATATGACTTTTTCCAATAGTACAGTAGAAATAGTAATTCTTGTATTATTACCTTTAGGTTTTTCTATTTTCTGATTTTCTTTATTTGTGGGAGTACCCGAGTCCCCATGATCTGTTATTTACAAAAATACATTAAAGTTCAATGGTCAGAGGATCTTTATTTCTTGTGCTTTGACAAATATAAAGTTTCCGAAGATAGGGGGGATATTAAAAACTTATCATAACCTTTAGGTTTACCTATTTGGACTTTTTGTGCGCCACTAGCACCTGTATTTTCCTGATCTGCAATTTACAATTTACGACAGAAATACATCGATATTAAACTTGTACGACATTCATATATCTGTAGAAGAAAGATTGTTACAGCCTATTATCTTTTATCCTGAAGATAAACTATGCCTTTTATCATGGGAATGACGATTGTTTTTTGATCGCGCAAACAAGTAACAGGAAACAATTTTTTTCAGTTAACTTGATAGATAAATGTGTCTTTGAAGAATTCATTAATTCTTAAAAATCACCTGTTATTAGACATTATGCATCTGTTTTCAAAATATTGTAAACAAATATCTTTCTGCTATATTTTGTTGGAAAACGAATTTAATAGTGCCTGCTCTACGCTTGTATTATACTTCAATATACCTTGAATGTTAATTTTCTCCTTTTGTTCTGTAAAAAGTGTTTAAAAGAAACACTAAATGTATTAACAATAAGCCCCATTCAATCATTGTTGAATATTCATGTGTACATCATTAACAATAATGACTTTTATATATTACCTTCCGATTGCTCTTTAGAGTTCTCTGCTTTTGAGTCTTTAGCTTCTTTTTCTTTCTTTGTAACTACAATTAGGGTAATTGAATTTAATATATATAACTAAAATTTATTAATTGTAAGTTTTCTTCTTTTATCAAATAAATTCATTTCATATAGATTTATTTATTTATCAATTTTGAATGGACGCTCCCTTGAAAATACACTTTACATTTTTGATTCCTTAATTATGTTACATCGGGGTAGAGGATGCATAATTTTATTTTATGCACAAACAAATATGACCTTTTCCGCAAGTACAGTAGAAATAGTTATACTTGTATCATTACCTTTAGGTTTTTCTATTGTCTGATTTTCTTTATTTGTGCTGGGAGTACCTGTGTCCCCATGATCTGTTATTTACAAAAAAATATTAACATTTAATGGTCTGAAAATATTTTTTCTTGTGCATTGACAAATATTAAATATTACAAGTAAAAAGAGGAGATTGCAAATAAGTTATCATTACCTTCAGGTTTATCTAGTTGGACTGCGCCAGCAGTACCCGCGATTTCTTGATCTGAAGTTAACAACATAAATGCATCGATATTAAACTGATTTTATCAATTTCAACTAGGATATTAATATTTTTAGAAAAAAAAGCCACAGCCTATAATCGTTTATCCTAGAGACATACTGTGCTTATTTTCATAAGTATGACGATTGTTTCTTTATCGTACAACATGTAACCTCAAATATTTTTTCAGTCACATTGGGAAAAAATGTGCGTTTTGCAGAATTCATCAATTTCTAAAAACACCTATTATTAGACATTATGTATCTTACTTCATAATATTTAAAACTAGAGGTATAGTGAGCAATGAGTTCACTAAATGATAAAACCCGCCTTCCATTTGGTTGTAATGGCAAAGTCAACTTTTTACTGAGGCCGGGAAACCCAAATTATGTATCGGATCAAAAGGTAAAATATGATGTGCTCAATGGAAACATGTAATAAATATTCTGTGAAAGTTTCATAAAATTTTACTCAATAGTATAAAATAGGAGTTGCAGATAAGAGATGGGTACCCAAAAGCGTAACAGACAGACGGTCGGACGTACAGGCTAGATGGACAGACGGACGGACCTACCGAATACAGTTTACCCTCTCACTTTTCAAGAAGGGGTATAAGACATTTTCTTTCTAGGATACTTTGAGGGAAAACTCATTAAGTGAATCTTTTAAGTCTGTTACTAAAAAGAAAATCTACATGTTTTAATAATAAACTCTATTTAATTTTTGTGTACAGTGGACCTTCAGATATCCGGACGCCAGATATCCGGATGCTTCAGTATCCGGACGCCTTTTCATTGGAACGGAATTTTAAAATTCTTATTTGTCTTGTTTAACTGGTAGTTCAGATATCCGGACGCTTCACATATCCGGACAAATTGACTGGGAACCAAAGCGTCCGGATAAATGAGGGTCCACTGTATATACAATGGCTTATGTATATTATTATCATTAACAATAATGAATTTTATATAATACCTTCTGATTGCCCTTAAAGTCCCCTGCTTTTGAGTCTGTAGGTTTTATTTCTTTCTTTGGAATTACAATTTGAACAAATCCTTCTTATTTGTTTATACATGTGACTGAATTAAATATGAATAACTCAAATTTATTTTTTTGTTAGCTTTATTCTTTAATAGAAAAAATTCTTTTAAAATCAATTTTCAAGGGGAGTTACATTGAAAACACATTCTTGATTATGTTGTATCAGAATTATATTGAAATGATATTGAAAGATAATTCGAAAAGGTGCATGATTTTCATAAACATATATATTAACAAATATGCCCTTTTCGCAAGTATCGTGGAAATAGTAATTCTTGTATCATTACGTTTAGGTTTTTCTATTTTCTGCTGTTTTTTATTCGTGGTGAAATTACCTGTGTCCCCTTGATCTGTAATTTACAGAAAAACATAAACCGTTAAACTGGTCTGAGGATTTTTTTTCTTGTGCTTTGGTATATATAAAATTTCGGAAGATAAAGTTGAAATAACAAATATTTTATCATTTCTTCAGGTTTACCAATTTGGAATGTCTTTACAATTTCAACTACTTCATTCATATACGAATGTTGTTCAAAATATTCGTGGACGATGTCAATCTTCGTTATATTACTCACAAGAAATTTAAAATGACATTATTAATGTGTATAAATATTTCTTTTGCTGATTTGTAAAGTTTCATTCCATTCGTTTTAACAGAATCAATTTTCTTAATCTTAAAATCAACATGTCTGTACCCGTGGAGCTAGCACCCTTAACGGCAATATAACGTCAATACATAGCGTCAAGATTTTCTAAAAAATACTATTCAAATATATTTCACAGTTTAATCCAATGCCCACTCATTAAATCCTTCTTTAATATCTGACATTCATTTTTCAAAGAATTGCTCTCCTTGTATAATTTCCGTTTTTAAGGTTTCAATTTCTATTATTACTTAACTAACCGTTTTTAAGGTTTCAATTTATTACTTAACTCTGCTTTCACAGGACACGCAACTGTGAAGCAACTATGTCTTTTTTGACGTTCTAACTATTTAAAGTTTTTTACAGTGAAACCGTAGCTTCACGGATTATCCTAGTCAATACAGGGTCTCTGTCACTCAAATACTGTCTGTACTATTTGTACATACATGCGCAAATCGCTTAAGACAAATTTTCTTGATTCCTCAAACAATTTTAGAGTATATTCAGGGTTTCTCGTGAGTAAAACATAAATTTGAATCGTTTTTTTTTTCTCTACGGCGTTCTAAAACGTCATCGTTTTGTCTTTTTCAATGAGGACTACCGATCTTCTTAAGTTAATTTCTTTTCAACAAACAACATATAAAGCCATAATTTTGTATACTTAGCGATGCAACAATTCTGAATTTGAATTGTTAGATTGTTTTTCGTTTTTGCTCCATTTACAGAAAATATGCATGCATGCATTATATAGTGTATTGTTTGTAACCTGCTCTGCAATCCGTTTTTTGCATTTTTATAATCTGGTTAAGTTTTTATTAATTCGTAATATTTTGGAAAAAATTGATACAAATCAAATGGATTTATTGTAAAATATTTTTACCAAATTCGGAGAATATATGACGTCAATTACACTTACTTTTATACAAGTATTCATATCAAGCAGAATTTATGCAAAATCTTATGCGTGAAAAGAAGAAAACACTTGCTGTAACCTTTAACTCGACATTTAGATATATCGACGACGTATTGTCAATTAATAATGGTAATTTCCATTCCTACGTCGATACGATATATCCTGGTGAGCTTGAGATAAAAGTTACCACAGAGTCCGACACTACTGTTTCATACTTTGATATTTTAATTGAAAAAGACACTAATGGTAATCTAACAATCAAACTATATGATAAACGTGATGACTTTAACTTTTCTATCGTCAATTTCCCTAACTTATGTAGCAATATACCTTCGTCGCCTGCATACGTAGTATATATATCTCAGTTGATTCGATAAGCAAGAGCATGCTCTACGTATGAACAATTTCTAAAACGAGGTGGGTTATTGACAAGCAAGTTGATGAAACAAGAATTACAGCAGTCTTGTTTAAAGTCATCATTTCGGAAGTTCTTTGGTCGATACAATGACCTTGTCAGCAAAAACAGTTTATCATTGAGTCAAATGCTGACTGACGTTTTTCATACCAAATGTTAGTCCATTATTTATACACTGATTTGAGGACGGATTTTCCCGTTATTTCCTGGTTATGACAAGGAGCACACGGCGGGTGAGACTGGACGACAGGGGATGCTCACTCATCCATGGCATCTGATCCCACCTCTGATATTTCGGGGGTCCGTTTTGCTCTGCTCTTATTTCGTATTGTTTTATGGAATTTGAGGTTGAATACTGTTCGTTATCTCCATGTCCTTCTTAAAGAAGATATGAACGTTGTCCACGAAATTTTCGAACAACCCTCGTATTTGTAGATGAAAGATTGTTACAGCCTATAATCTTTTATCCTAGAGGCAAACTGTACTTATTTTCATAGGTATGACGATTGTTTCTTTACCAATCAACTCGTAACCGGAAACACTTTTTGAATTCACTTTTAGTTAAATGAATGTGCGTTTTGAAGAGAAAGTCATCATTTGGAAAAAAAATCCAAAACAGCTGTTACTAGACATTATGTACTTAGTCATTATATTAAAAAAAATATTTTCCTAGGGTATTTTGGGGGGGAATAAATTTAGTGGTGCCGCTTTACTCTTGATATATACTACAGTATACCTTGAGTATTATTTTTCTTCTTTACTTCTGTAATTTAAAAGAAACACTAAACGTTTCTACAAAAAATACTATTTAACTTTGTGAAATATGCATATGTACATCATTAACAATAATGATTTTCATATATAACCGTCCGATTGCCCTTAAAAGTCTTTATTTGTAACAGTTTACTACAATTGAGAAAAATCCTTCGTTTGTGTCTCTAAATGTAAACCATTTAAATATACGTTATATAAGTTAAATTTACTTAATTTAAGTTAACATTTTCAAATAAAAAAAAATCCTTTATATATCAATTGTGAATGAAACTTATATTTAACACAAGTTCTTAATTAGATTGTATCAGTTTGTATTGAAAAGTAATGCAAAAGATGCATAATTTTTCGTATTCTCAAACAAAAATGTCCATTTGCACAAGTAAAATATAAAAAGTAATTACCTTTGGGTTTTTGATTTCCTTTATTTGTGCTATGAGTATCTGTAAGCCCTTGATCTGTAAATAACAAAAATATATTAATGCTAATGGTCTGAAAACCTGAAATAACAAAATATACGTGCATTAATCACTGAATCTGATCCTTTAATTTTGTTAAAATCAGAACATACATGTAGTTAAAAATGTGATAGTTTGTAGTTAAGAACTTAAATTGTGGCATGTTTTAAAACTAGCACTAAAGAAAAAGTCTCAATAAGCCATTATCTCTGGTAAATATCTTTGTTGACAACCCTGCGCTCTATATTTTCTAAATAAAAGTATCATGATTTTGATCTGTTTGGTGAGTACATTTAGATAGGATTTACCTCTTGTTGACATGCTAAGAATAGATAATATGTCACGTGATTCCATGCCGCCACTAGTGAATACATTCGGAAAGCGTGTTCTCTGTAGGAAGCGTCACATGTAGCTTATATGTGAAAAATGCAGACACCTGCTTTCATTTTTTTAAAATTCAAAAAAGATTTTCTATAGACTCCGATGAATATCACTTATATTAACTTTGGGACACTTTTTCGGGACATATTTAAATTTCCATTCACGCAATCCCAAGTTTCCTGTTCATTGGGAACAGCACACGAATTAATATATACGAGTAGATGTATATTAATACACATTTAATCAATTTCTTGCGAAAAAGAAACAAAAAGGCGAAAAATACCAAAGACGTCATAATTCTTTTTTTTCAAGGTTGGAGAAGGGTTTTTTTTCCCTCTTTTTCTTTACCAAATTCAGGTTTCTTGTATATTTTTTTTCTCAGCACTCCCTGTGCGCATTTGCCGTTATTTATTATGCGGTTGCTTGTGCTTCTTAAACTATCAAATAAAGAAAGTTGATATACTCCGACGTAGTGGTTTAAATATCTTGACATTTTATACAACAATGATAGATTTAAAAAAAAATGTGATTCGGGATTTTCAAAACACCGACAAAAAATACATTACGAACTAACAAAAAGACTTCCACCCACCCAAAGTCCAAAATAATACAAATGATGCAAAATAGAATTCAAGGTCATTGAAAATTATTTTTCCCAATTGTTTATTGTTTTTTATTTATTATCTCATGCTACAACTCATCGTTATCTTCCCTTATATACAATATCTAATTTAAATGTCTCTGCCCATGTGTATATAATAGAGAAACTGTTCTCTGTTCGAAAGAAAATGTTCCGGAATTTGTGTGTATAGTAGGTGTTGAAAATCGGCTTGTATTTCTTGATATTCTAAGTTATTAATAATGATTGTACAAATGTTAATTAGAAATACTTTGTTATACACAATGAAACTAAAAATAATACCATATCCTCATGTATATTCTGTAAAATAAGGACAAAAAAGGGACCACGCTACTATACTAATTGGAATACTCCTTTGATTCAATTGAAAGCATACATGGAGACCACAGGAATGTCAGACACCTCGGTCCAACGACACCCCGGCCATTGACATCTCGGCCCAATGACGCCTCGGCTCAGACAGGTCGGCCCAAGATTAAAGACAGGTCGGCTAATCTTAAAGACACCTTGGCCCAAACCGAATTTCATTGAAAAATATACATATATCCGATTCCTGGATTTGTGACTTTTAAAAATAAAATATATTTATGGAAAAAAAGTAAACAAAAACAATCAATTTTTCTTAAAGCGGCACAGTGAGTCAAAATCATATCTTAATTTTAAGATTCTGTAGCATACAGAGAAAGACTTACGAAAATTATGAGTATATAGCGAAGATATGACAATTAAACTGCAAGATTTGACTGCACAATATAAGTGACGGAAAAACAAAAGTTGTATCTACCGTTTCGTTGTTTCGAATATGTCAAGGTCACGCTACTCTTATTTTTAGCTCAAACTTGTAAACAAAATTCAACTGGAGCATGCAAAGGTGAGAAATATGTTCTAACAACTTTTTAAAAAGATTACATCAAATTTTTTGGTCTACTTATATTCATTCGTGGATACCTGAGACCATGGTAACTATGGAAACTTATTCAACACTTTTCTGCGCACGCGTATAATAGGGAGGAAGAAGTACCAGGGTATTTTGCAATATTTTCGTTCTGGGGCAGACAGAAATTATTTTTACTTTTATTTTTCCCCATAAACATTTAATTTTTTGGTTCTGAAACCTGTAATTTTCTGAAACCTAATACTTTAAGGAATTGAACAAAATTTACAGAGGTCATGCAAAAATTCTACATTTGTCATTTTTCCCCTTTGTGCGTCACTGTGCCACTTTAACTATAAATTAAGAAACTTCTCCGAGCATATAAACTCTAATTAAGGAATGAGAAGACATAATTAAGGTGTTTAATCAGTCCATTGCTAAACAAAAAAATCTGCGGCGCTTTTTCTGGAGTTTCAAATGTACGTGTGTCATACAAGAGACGATGGGGGTTAATTACGAGCAAGTTCATTAATGGTTTTAACAATAAGAAAATTCATATAGGTTTTTTTTTAAATCCGTTTGCGCATTTACCCATCACGGTAAAAAATGCATATGCATATAGAAAACAGGGAAAAAATGATATCATACCCCCCCCCCTTTCCCTATCTGATATTTAGAAAGAAAATATACATGTATAATCGTCAGAAAGACATTAAATTAATTATCGAATAATGCCAATTCAGACACACAATTAGTTTATTCTATCAACAAATTTTGCTTGAGCCGAAGTATCTTTTACATGGGCCGACATGTCAATAATTCTGAAGGAATTTTGTCAAATTTGAAATACATTTCACTTCGGAAAATATAAAGCACAAGATTGCCAATATGAGATTTTTATATAAAAGTTGCATCTGATTCTAGTGTATGAAATATAATTCAAAAATACATGTAGATAGGCAAGCTTGTCCTCACTACATATTTTCTGATAGGATATATCCTATAAAATTGATCTAAAATGATATTTTAAGAAAGAAAAAAGAAAATTGACATATTTTCGGACCTTCTTGTCACTTCTGTGTATCTCATAGCCTATAATAAATACTAATTCTATTGCAGGGTAGATAAGTGGTCTTCAATCAATAAAATATGTCATTAGTCCAAAAAAAAAACCTTAAGCCAGGGGCATAAAATGGGCTCACACTCTCCTCTACTTAATATCTTTAGAATGCTAAAATATTTAGCATTTAGTTTTTTAAAATCTCATTTTAAGTCATATAGTACTTGTGTACACTTTCTAACTCAATCTCTGTGCAACATTCATATTAATTAAGAAAAAATTTGTTGTTTTTTTTCCGCCAATATAGTGGAAATTTTTATTACCTTCAGGTGTCACGATTTTCTGATTGACTTTTCTTGTGTCAGCAGTACCTGTTTCTTCTTCATCTGCTGTTTACAAAAATAATACATTAATATATCAAACAAGTTAACTTTCAATATTTTCAAAAATACCCTTCTTATTTAAAAAAATGTCTGCAAATTTCCAACAAATAACCTTTTCACTTATTTTTGGACATCACTTTTTGTTTCGCCGCTTTCAGAAATCGAGGGGACATTTAATCTCATGCATCTGTCCGTTTGTCAGATGTTATGATTTTTGACCTCGTTACCTTGACGTTTGACCGACTTTTCTACAAAAATTTAACCTTGATCATATCCTTTGAATTGAATCAATATGGATATATGGAATTCATATGGAATCAAGTCAAAAAGAAAAACACGAGTCTTTTTTAAAAATATGTATAAAATTTTAAAAATAATATCTGCACTATATTTTTTAAAGTGATATTCTACGAGTTTAAAACAGATTTCTTTCTGATCAAACATCATGATGATCATCTTGTCCACATATTTATGACAAAAATCCACAATTTGTCAGATTCCCTTTCTAAAGAAGAAATTCTTCAAAATCAAATGTCAGTTTGAAATATTTTTAATATTCCACAGAGTCAAAAGGAATTTGAACTACCCTATATATATTTGATTCCGAAACTTCATAAAAATCCTTACAAACAAAGACAAATTGCGGGTTACAGTAAATGTTCAACAAAGCCTCTTTCGTTAAGTACTCTTTATTAACCCTCTAGAACCCTACGTAGCATATATGCTACATATTTTTCTAAGCTGTGTAAAAGGATAAAAATAGACTGAATACAGTAAAATCCCACTGTATCATATCTGCTACATGGCCATAACCAAGACTTGGTTTCGAACTGATTGCTAGCTCTACATCAGGTGTGAAATATGATCCTCTGAAAATGTCAGCTTCCATGAGGATTCAAGGTTTAACAAATACCAAGAAAATATCTTGCTGGAGGTGCACTTTTACAGGCGAGATGTACTTGTTTTTCAAATTAAATGTGATATTTTTGTATTAAAAATTAAGTTCTTAAATATGAATTACACATAACTTCTAAATATATATTTCAACATAAACAAAACAATGTAGCATATATGCTACAACGGTCATTCATTTACCAAAAGGGGAAGACAACTCTTGGAAGGTATTAAAAAACCAAAAATGAAAAATAAATTAAATAAGAAATTTCTCCAGGTTCTAAGTAATAAATTTTATTCATATCTGTTAGCATAAGCACAAGACCAAGAAGACATGTAAGAGACATTTCAAAATTGATGAATAATTATGAAAGTGATTGTGATAAACTAGATTTGGACAGTTAGGGGGATGGGTATCTACCCGATAAAGATGGTGCTGAAAGTGAAGATAAATCTATTGAAAGTATATGTACACGTACATCTTTTGGCACATAATTGTGGTTCTGCAGTAAACAGTTGGCTATGGTATGGCTGTATCCTGTTGCAACAAAAACCATCAACATTATGCAAATTCATTGACGAAATTGCAGCTGTGCTAATTGAGCCTAAAACTAAGATACGACAGCCATGTGTTTCTCCCCCACATCTTCCTAAATCTCCAAAATATATAGTCAAAAGGCCTGCTGACATAATATGAAAAGTTCAAGTTAGTCATTGGCCAACCTGGGAGAAAAAACGACAGCGGTGCAAACTCGATCAGTGGTTATGATGGACTTTCATTTGTGAAATTTCTCAAATGTGATGAAGTCTTTGTCTTAATAAAGACAGAAATTTACACATATAAATGCCAAACTAATCTAGTCAAAATATTATTTCCCCTAAACTTTTAAAAAATGAATTATAATATATATTTCTATACATTTTATATTTTTTACAATCTTTGGTGTTTTTGCCAAATTTTACACGTCAAGTAAATGAAATTCTTCGCATATTGAACATATAAACATTATACTTCACTGAATATATTATTTTTAGTCTTATTTTTTAACAAAAATAAATCAATACAAGTAAAAAACATTTATGTATCATATTTGCAACATATGTACTGGTATCCCGGTGTAGCGTATATCACCCCTACTAATGTGTTCGGGACCTTTTATTTTTCGGTGTTCAGCAAATTATAAAACCCGATGAGTTCAGAGTAGCTCTGACAGTGGTTCTGATGAGAGTTTACGAGACTTCAGCGAGATAGGGTAAATTATTCACGGAAATGTGGCTAGGAAGTGACTAGCACGTGGAGACATAGTAAACATTAAAGTTATGTTGCATTTTAGTTTTCACAACCCTATCATATCATTCTGTAGGAATGTACTTCAAAATTTCTTGAATTCATCCAAGTTTAAATTATAAGTCTTCTAAGTATAAGTATAAGTATTCTCTATGATACAATTTTCTGCTGTCATGAATTAAAATTTCTTTTTGGACAAATATTGGCATGGGAACCGGGACTATATTTTTGGAGTCAGATTAGCAAATGAGGCACCAATGTGACTTTAACCGACAAATCAGCTAAATGAGAATTGCATTATGGGTTACTACGAATACTACAGGAATTTTACGCTTGATAAATTCCGTTATTGTACTATCGGTGAATACAATTGTCAGGTGGATTTCCTGACCAACACACGTGAACACGAGTTTAGTTATGTAAACATGTTTTGTCCATTTAAATGCATACGAGAAGCTGCTCGTTTTCCTTACCCTTGAAGTGTTGTTGTTCTCAACTTGACACTAACAACGTATGCATTTTATTAAACCTATGCTTTCTAGTTAACAACAACTTAAAATCACCCGTGATATATCTTTTATAGTTTCTAATGTTTGCATTTTGTTCACATTTTTTTTATTTTTCACTCCATTGAGATGATCATAAATTGACCTGAACCACGTGTTCAAAGTAACATGTAAACACATATTTGGCGTAAACGTATTCAATCAACAATTGGTCAGTTGCTCGTGTCGACGGTGGTAAGATCCTCTGTGCGCATTAATAGCAATAGCCATATAAGGCAAACAAAGGTTTGTCAGTGTAGATGATATTACTCATTTTTTTACCAGCGTATCGGTCGCTAGTAAGCTGTTATTTTTGCAGTAAACTATGATAAAATGTAAAATTATTATTTATCCCCCCCCCCCCTTTAGCCACCCATTACTGTTGAAATTCGTGAAAGTCTTTAAGCAAGGCGGTCTGGAAACACATTTTACATGGGACGTGTTTTCAGAAGAAACAGACTATAGCAATTTCCTGTTTACTGCCAACTTCATTTATAAAACCGGTTCTATCCTATAACCTTTGAATAGGTAAACCTAAACCACGTGTCTTGAATTTAAATCACAATAACATTAGTAGGGGTGTATATGCTACAACAATTTTTTCCCTTATTTGGAGAGAGAAATGTCAAAAAAGTGCAAAAATATTTTTAAATGATATAAAGTAACTCTTAGATAAAGTATAAGAATTTTACAGATGTATTAACTGCATTTGGGTACAAGAGGGTTAAGATATTAACAGTAGTTGAGGAAAAACTTCAGGAGTACTGTGCAACAATATATTCAAGAAGTGCTGTGAACCAGATGTGAAAACTCAAAGTTCAAAATAACTTTTGAACAATTTGAAATCACAAGATTTTACCAAAATCAATAGCTTAAAAACATACGACTGTTCAACTTTATTTATAACCATTCCCCACAATAAACTAAAGTCCGGGCTATTTGATGTCACTGACATCTGCTTTTTATATAAAAATGGAACTCGTAAATTTACTAACCTGGTCATTGGTCTTTTGCAAAATTATTTTGTTAAAACATATTCTGATTGCACACCCAAGTACTCTGAAGTTGACATCAAAGAGATACTTAAGTTTCTGATTGACAATATCTATGTGGTTTTTGGAGACCAGGTATTTCAACAATCTATTGGAATTCCCATGGTAACCAATTGCGCTCCGTAATATTAAGCGGAAGTATTTTTATATTAATACGAAACAGAATTTGTGCAAAAAGAAGAAAACACTTGCTGTGGCCTTTAACTCGACATTTAGATATATCGACGGAGATTTGTCAATTAACAATGGTAATTTCGTCGATACGATATATCCTGGTGACCTTGAGATAAAAAATACCACAGAGTCTGACACATTTGTTTCATACTTGAATATTTCATTTGAAAAAGACGTTAATGGTTATCTAACAACCAAGTTATATGATAAATGTGATAAATTTAATTTTTCTATCGTCAAATTCCCTTTTTTGTGCAGCAATATACCTTCATCACCTGCATACGGAATATATAGATCTCAGCTGCTTCGATGACCAAGAGCTTGATCTACGTATGAACAATTTCTAAACGAGGTAAATTATTGACAAGCAAGTTGATGAAACAAGAATATCTTCCGTCTCGTTTAAAGTCATCATTTTGCAAGATCTATGGTCGATACAATGACCTTGTCAGCAAATACAATTCATCATTGAGTCAAATGCTGACTGACGTTTTTCCTAACAATTGTAAGTCCATTACTTATACAATGAATTGACGACGGATTTTTCCATTATTTCCTGGTTATGACAAGGAGCACACGGTGGTAGTGACCGGCCAGCAAGGGGATTCTTACTCCTCCATGGCACCTGATGCCATCTCTAATGTTTCAGAGGTCCGTGTTTGCTCGACTTTTCTTTTGTATCGTTTAATGGACTTTTAAGTTTGAATACTGTTCGTTATCTCCATATTCTTCATATAATTCAATATTTACGATAGACTTCGTCCTTAGAAACAGTCTTAATATGCGTAATAATTTTTTTAATTATTAGATCATAATGAAGTTTTCATCATATATGAGCAAAAGCTAGCGATATTGACAACAAATAACAAGTGCAGTCGATTATTTAAATTGACAAGACATTTGAAATTTGACATCACAAGCCTGACGTAGAAGTAGGTTATACGAAAACCTGAGGTAAAACTTACATCGTTAATATTTTGAAGTGCATTTTATTCCATTTTTCTAAAATGAGTGTGAGAAAAATATGAAATATCTAAAAGTTCTATTTAAAGTGTATTTTGATTTTTGTAGTTACATTTTATCAATAAAATCGTTTGAAAATACTTAAGAGAGCGTTGGTGCTCTCGTGAAGTTACGATAGATTTTGCACTAAGGATATTTTGTGTAAACGACTTCGATCAGACGTTTTCACTTCAGATAAAAAATATGTCGTAATTTTTTTTTGTGGAATTGGCAACTGGTGTCTCTTCTCTTCGTCTTTTTTGCAACAATACAATTTCTTTACCATTAAAGCAAATACAGTGTACCAACGTTACCACCTTCGAAATAATTGTGACCTATTCAAACTACAGGCTCTTCAGATATCTCACTAATACATGTACTCACTGTACCACTCTTAAATATGTGACTTGCTTTTCTCTCTTCTCCTTGCCCATTTTTTTTGACGAGATTCTTAAATAAAAAATTGTCCTTTTTATCTTTCGGTATGTTTTTTGCGCAATTCATATAACCGGATATGACATTCACTGTGAAAAATTATAATCTAAAACGATTGCGATTACGAATCCGGCCATTGTGACATAATTCTTACTCTAATACGATATTTTCGTATTTTAAGAGTGGACCTACGTAAATGGTACCCGCTTTTTCTATCGAACTACAATATACCATAGTTGTTATTTTCCTCCTTTACATCTGTTATTTAAAAGAAACAATTAACCCCATTTAATCTTTTTGCAGCATGTGCATCATGATCATTGAATGTGCATCATTTATGTGCTTCATTAACAATAGTAATTTCTGATATATTACATGTACCATTTGAAATCCCTTTAAAGTCCTCTGCTTTTGAGTCTTTAGATTTTCTTTCTTTCTTTGGATCTACAATTTAAAAAACTCCTTTGTTTTTGCCTATATTTGTAACTTATTTTTATGCAAATTACAGCCAAGAATTTAATTTTACTTTTAATCAAACTTTGAACACATTAATTTAATATATAGCTATATTCAATGTAAGTGATATAGAACACTCTCTTTTATATATTATATCCGATTTGTATTCAAAAGTATATTTTTCCTCGAGGTTATACAAATATAAGATTTTACGAAAATGAAAAGGAAAAAGTAACGAACTGATCATTACCTTCAGGTTCATCTTCTTGGACTTTTCTTGCGCCAGCATTTCCTGTACCTTCTTGATCTGCTGATTACAACAGACAAACATAAATATTAAACTGCTTTGAATATTTTCAAGTATGGCATTCATATATTTGTAGATGAAGGATAGTTACAATTTATTATCTTTTATCCTGAAGACAAACTGTACTATTGATTTTAGGTATGACGATTAATTCTTTATTGCGCCAACTTGAATCTGAGATAATTTTTAGTTGAATTGGTAAATAAATGTGCGTTTTGAAGATGAAGATGAAAACATTTGTTAATAGACACTATATACTTTTCATCATGATATGATAAAGTCTTTCTGAATATTTTGAAGGAGAAAAACATTAAACGCTGCCAGCTTTACTGTCATACTAAAATATAGCATGCTTGATATATTTTCCCTTTATTTTTTTTTTAAAGAAACACCAATTTTTTTTCAATATTCACCATTTTATCGGTTTGGAGTGCATTCCAATACCAAATATACGTTGCAACCACTTTTGAAAAAACTATTTTAATAATGATTAAGAAATAAAAATAAAAAAAATGATTGAACTATTGATTTTAATAGTGTTTTCATCAATAATTCCAATTGATATTAAAATAATCAATAATTGCTGACAATGATTTCAAAACTACCTTGCAAGGTCTATCGAAGTATCTAAATATAAAGATATAAAGATGAATTACCCATTCTGTTTTCTAATACGATAACCTTATTTATTGAATTTAAATCTATATCTAAATCTAAATTTATTTCTACGTAAAGCTGTTTTGTTTTCATTTTTGTAGAAATTTTAATTAATATTCGGACACTTTTTATTATACTGACCTAACAATAATTCAAACATGTATGCAAATGTTATAAGCAAGTTCCCGTTCAATCTGGCCGAATTGGCGAAAAACAATAAACAATTGAAATCAATTGATATTTGCAATTTTGAAATAATTTGTTGTATTAAGTTTTCTTTTTGACATTGATTTTGAAAGGAAATAAATAAATACATGTAGATGTAAAAATTGAAATATTTAGACTAGACTGAAATGAAGGAAGAAGAATGATTATTTTGTGTTCAAACTTCCTGATGAAAATATGGATATTTTAAATAAAAAAGAATAAAGAATAGAACTACGTTGTAGCCCATGTTCATGGGATTACGTACACAACAAATACGAATACGAAAGTCAATATATACTTGTCAAGACATTTAAAAGCAACATTAACGGAAGGTAGTATTACGTTTATTAAAATATAGATGCCATTTTAATAGTGATTAGAATATAGTGGCGTTTTGAAACATATTTTCAACTTTTTTAATTGTCATTAATAAGTAGTTGTAATTTATTAGTACACTCATTAAATAAATTAAAAATGTGGGAGAAAATAAAGTACCATAAATCTTTGTATTTGTTAATGGTTAAGTTTTTTTTAATAAGTCTTGCAATAGGGTTTTAGTATTACTTATCAGCAACTATCAAAATGATTATTCATATCACTTTTGAAATCATTATTTCAATACTATTGATAACTTTTTTTTTTCAAATGTGAACATGTCCAATAGTGGTTGCAATCTATGTTTGGTATTTAAATGCATTCCAAGCCACTATAGAAATAATTATTCCAATGGTGCTCGTTTTTCAATAGTTGTTGCAACATGGCATTCTTTTTCTGTTAACTATAATACTTCGTCCACTTCATTCCCAGTGTTATTTTTCTTCTTATATTGAATACAAGAAAATGAACATTTTCTTCTCTTACATTTACACAAATGGCATAAAAGTTTACCACAGGTAGAATGGAAATAGTATTTCACTTTTTATTACATGAACATACCTTCAGATGAAAGTGATTCCTGGTTGACCTTCCCCGTTCTCGGTGTGCTGTTATAATCTTGATCTGCTGCTTTAAAGGGGGGATAAATAAAATTTTTATATTTAACTGGTCTAGATTTTTTACAGGCAATTTGGTGGAGAAAATGAAGTCAAAGAAAAACATCCCTTGAACTTATATAAGGTTGCCATACTTCAGGTCTAGTGTCGCTATCTTATTGAGATATTTACAATGCAATTATGTGAAAATGTCTACAATAATTTACTATATGCACTGATATCTTTAATCTTATTATCTATATTCCAACTAGGTCCCTCAACATATTGCTTCATATTATACTGCTTTTCGGCGATAATTTTTTTTACTACTTAGCCAACATTTTAAATAGTTAATTTTTACAGACACTCCTTTCATTTTGACTTTTTTTAGGCTCAGGTCTTTGATTACCCATTTCTTGAATTGCATCAGGTGCACTTCCTTCCTCTAAAACAGATTTAAATGCTTTTAAAACGATAAAGGTAAAATGGTCACTGTGATGAGAAATTATTTGCTCCAAGTTACAAAGGCCATTTATCAAAATCTGAAAAAACTGATTTGAGATTTTTTCACTTTTTCATCGCATATTCTCAATCGATCTCACTTACTTTTTACTTCCTACATTGTATTGCTATGTTTTATTTATCGGACAAATAACTGGGCAATATTAAAATTTTTATCTTTTGCAAACTGATTCGGAGTAATAATTTGCTTGCTCTGTGCTCTCTATGTATCTTTATGGCTTTTGCGTGTTGCTAGTACATGTATAAGGTTTCTAGCATATTTGAATCCATAGTCTTGCGAAGAAGCATACTTCGCTTCATTTAATGTGTTTTCTATATCTCCATTAGATGTAGGTAAATTACATGCATATTCTCGTAGGAGATTAAATGTCGGTGTAAATTCAAAAAAAAAAGAAAAAAAAAGAAACAGAGAAATATTTTCTTTGAAAAACTGCACAATTTTCTCTCCATTAAATGGAAAATATCGAAATTATTTGTCACATAAGAACTGTAAATATTCTATGGTTATAACAATTTGACAAATATGAAAATCTTGCCTTCTTCTCTCAAAAGACCCTGTTCTTCTTGATTTTGAGACTTCCCTTTCCTTGAATTTTTGTTGCATTGTATGACTATTAAAACATATATTTTAAATAATGAGTTGTTGAGTTTTATAAAACCTTATGAATCATTTTTAATTTTAAAGATCGATCTAGAGACACAATATAGCTGTATATACGTGTTCTTACTTTCATTCCATTTGATTTGTTTCCTTGCCAAGAGTAACAAAATAAACAAAACAATAACCAAAACAGTCAGTAAAGCTACAATGACGATTGCAACAATCAGGGATACATTGCTTTCAGATCCAGATGAAGTCGTGTGCCTAAAAAATATCATAACACAATATATGCTTACGTACTCACTTGACCATGCTGTATTAATGTTCCTTTGATGCAAGTACTTACCCATATTTACAAGTCTTGATATTGGTTGTGGTATTGTTTTCAATTTTTTTCCGAACATGCTCATAACACTTTTGATCTAACAACAAAATAAGAAGCAGTGAGTTAATACTTATTAGTAATAGCTCTGATGTGAAAAATACCCTCCCATAGATCCCACTACATGACCTACCCAAATCAAGAATGTTCTAATACTTCAACGTCTGATCTCAGTAGTTGCTGAGCAATTTACAACCAAACTTACAGATACATGTGCATACAGAGAGAGAGAGAGAGAGAGAGAGAGAGAGAGAGAGAGAGCGGTAAGGATAAAAAAGAATACCCTCTTCCTTCAGAGGGTGCGGGTGATTAATTTTTCAAATATAAAAAAGTCTTAAACTGCAGCGTATTTTTAAAAATATTTTATAATCTTTATCCCAATAAAGAAATAAAATTTTTCTATGCTTACTTATTTCTTGGATCACATTCCCTGAGAAATGTAATTACCTAATCTTGTTTGAGAGTCTCATACAATAACAATCACTAGACGTAAATTATTTTGTTAAATGCAAAAGTTCTATGAAAAACATCAACGTGTGTTTAACAAGGTATGTGCAATACTGCACGTGATCATTAATTGAATCATGTTCACGTACATGTATTCAAATTCTAGCGTAATCACAGTTTGGAGTTTTGATGTAATCAAAAATGTGCGTTAAGAAGGTCCATACTTTTACGGATCCGGTTTTAATTTTACACACCAATGTAAAATTCTGATTATCACTTTTTGTAATTAAAATATTTTGGTTGGTTGAAAATGAATTAATAGATTTATATTTATTAATTATAGTGTTTATTTTAATAAAAAGCATTTGATGTATATTATTTACGGAAATTAACTCTTTACACTGTGTCCATAGGATTTATATGCTTTTAACACATACAAAGACACACAATTCTCAATTGCCTTTATGAATCTAAACCCTTCTAATTTTTTTTTAAACATACTAACTTGAGATATATTCTTATAGATTTTGAACCTCTCTCATCTTTTTAAATTTTACTTTCGTTTTAAATTTTGTAAAGAATGATTGAAAAATTTGATATTCCAAAATAGGGGTATACGTGTTGTTGAAAAAATTCATATTCCAAGATAGTGGTATACGTGTTGAAATGGCTGTTTTGTTAAATTTTTCTGGCCAATCATAGTAAATTTTGTGCTTTTGTTAATAGCCTGAGATATAATTCTTACTAATTCTAAAGAAAAATGACATGTAAACATAACTAAACAATTAACATTTTCAGAACTGTTAAAAAATAAAGAGATTTTGAGATTTTAATCTTAAAAACGTGGATAGATTTAACAAAAATTTGTTAATGTTTTCCAGGAAAAATTTCAAATATTCTCCTGGCAAATGAATGTTTTTGTTTCCACGAGTTTTAATATAGATTTGATGTGATTTTGTGCATAGCTAAATAAAATATAATATCACACTTCTTTATCTTTAATTTTGGCTGTTGAATTTTTGTTGAAGGTTTGTACTCTGAGACATGTTGTGTGAAAACTAACCTGCAAAGATATGTCTTTTATGAGTGTTTTAGTAATTATATGAAGTATTTAAGGTACATGTATTCAAGGTAGAAAATGATCAGTTTGACAGAAAATTTTGAAAGTACGAGCCTACCTTAAGTGTTGTGTATATGTAAATGATGTCTTAGCGCAAAAGCCGCAAAAATATAGAGACTACAGTATTTAAAGGCTGAGATTTTTAACCGTACGGTTTTCTCAGGTAAAGGGAGGGATTACATTTTACATGCATGGCACCCCGAGGTATTGATGGTCGTGCAGACCGTGGGAAACGCTTATCCCTATACACAAACAGTATACACAGGAAGTCAATGAGTATTATCTGTACAGCTTGCTGACCTACTGTTTATCATAAAATCATCATCATTAGTATATCTCGACATCCTGAATAAAAAATATCATTAGTAATTATAAATGATCATTGTAAAATTCCATAATTTCTGACATGTTAATATCAAAAACAAGCAGAAATCTCTCCGGGTCGACTTCTGTTAAAAAAATCTACGGTATATACCTTACATCGTTTGTCACAGAAGCAATGACTTGAGTTCGTTGTTAAAAAAAATAATAAAAAAATACAGGCATAAAATCAACAGTAAAATAGTCATCCTTGCCTGTCCGTTTCAAAATCTTAAAAACTATTCATAATTATCGTAAACATCGTTGCAATTAAAGCTTCGATCACGGTCAAATTGAAACAGTTACTCCCCGTTTGAATAAAAAGTCGCGTGGTTCTTTTTTCAGCAAATGTATTTTCTGTATCTTGTGAAAAATTCGCCATAAGTATAACGATGGTTTCGTTAAATTAAAATTACATACAAATGTGTGTATTTTTATCGATTAGTAAATTTATATTACAATTTTAAAAAATTAAAACAAAATATTGATTTATTGCAAAATTCTGTATTTCTTTCAAAACTATTTCTAACACCTGTGACCTTGAACGGAGGTAAGAACCCACGTAGCAAGAAATGTTCGGTTATAAAAAAGGAAAAGGGAATGAAAGAATCTCTTAATACTTTAAAACTTGTCCAGGCGAAGTTGTTACTAATTACATCTTTTTTCAACCTTACCATCCATTTCAAGCAAAAAATGGTACCTGTTTTTTTTCTCCTTTATTTTCACCGTAATTTTTCCTCCGCGTCTTTTTACGAGTGAAAACACGATTTCCTTTAGTCACCTATGCACTTTTCATTAGAAAAAAAAATTACACAAACTCGATGTATTTTATTGAAACACTTTGATGACATTTTCATTTTTCAGTGTTTGTAATACAAATAATTATAATCAATTATAATCAAGCTAAAACTGCTTGCATCGAAATGGCTTCCTCATTGCGATGGTGATTTAGCGATAAACAGGAAAAACGAAAGTTAATTTAATTGTGGCCACGCGTTTCCAACAAGGTGAAAGAAAGGTACACAGGGACTAGCTAGCAGCTAAATGTCAATCATTTTTTCAAGTACCCAATGATGGACCTTAATTTTTTTGATTGACAGGGGAATACAGACCAGGTAAATTTTCGAAGGCAGTGTTCAGTATCTTGGGCTTTAAGTAAAAGATAATCAATGTAATAACCAATATTTTTGAATAAATTTATTATCATTAGCAAAATAACAAAACGTTTACGACATATAACTTGATAAAGGGACTGACTTGTGTTATTTGTATCTTACATTTGTAAGCGTCTGTTGATATGAATCGCGAAGGACATTTCTCCCCCTCTTTGAAACTCGTACAATCCAATTTAAAATTATCTATCACTCTTTCCTCTTTGGTGTTAAACATAGGACAAAAACCTACAAAAGTAAAGTTTTGTTCCATTTGTTAAATAATTTAATAAATGTGCTTGAGCATACACGCATAAGGAATATAAAAAAATCGGTTTCTTCAATGGAATTCAAAACACTGAGTGTATCTTACCAGACATCCACCAATTTGGTGCACACACCTCAAGAAATGCATCCTCATTCTCATTCATAAGACAATGATATACGAACGATTTACAGTTGTGTGACAGCATTTTTTGACATTGTTTTGCATCTGAAGCGCGTTGCCACTCAATTGTTGTGTTTGGACAATTTTCTACTTCTTTAACAGTCGGCGTACTTGCTAGACAGCTTTCACAGTAAATGGGATTAATCTACAATATATTAGCAATATTCTTGTAACATCATTTTAAGTGTTGTTATGGACGTGACATTATATTTGTGCTATATCGTAATGTCATCTCTTTGAAGGCGAAAGGAGAGGTGATACAATAATAGAGTATTCGTCAGTCTTGCGACTATCCGTCTGTCTGTTGCACTATGGGATACCCATCTCATATTCGCAACCAGTCCTAAACCACTGAATTATATCAGACTTAAACTTACACATTATTTATTTTACATAGTCCCACTGTACATCTCGTTTTTGATCTGACACTTTTTCTGTGTCTCCAATAGCAAATCCTGGACTTTGCCACCATATTGATAATCGAGACGGCGGATGAATGTATCATTTTGTAAGTTCAGTGCTCAAAATGCATCTAGTTTATTCAATAAATCATTTCTCAACATTTTGTAAGAAAATTTGCAGGACTGAATTAAATTTTAATGTGCACAACTGCTATAGCTTTTTAAAACACATAACAAAACTGTATTGATAACTAAACATTGAATTTGATTTCTTAAAAACAGTGCTTCTCCATTGGGTTCGGAGAAAGAAAAGGGATTTTCGGAAAATGTCTTTTTATGATTTTGTCACACTAATCTTAGCACATAGTAGATAGGCAAGGTGTTGGCAGACCATCCCCCCAACATTTAAGCCCTTCATGATGAATGCTAAATTCTAGAAAACAATGACCATATCACTTCATTCCATTCCAAACAGAAGCCTTAAATGTATTTGAAGTCAAAAGTTTTGACAATGCATGTAAATATCACTAGGAAACCTAAGTCATTCATGATCAAATGCATTTAATGCCATAGTCACATTCCTCGGCCGATTGCCGACTATTTTATCAAAATACGCATTGGTTGCCCATCGTATACCCCGTCGCTGGATGACGTAACTGATACTTTATATAAATAATTAAGGACTACTAGGCCGATGTGGACCGATGTATGGGAATCGCTCACACCACGGATTACCACAGGTCTGCGGCCACAGGCCAGGAAATGTGACTAAGGTATTAGTCAGAATTTAAGCAATATGAAACATTTCAAACAGTCTGTAACACGTACTTGTAATACGACTCAAGAAATATAATCTCTAGTCATAAAAGAAATACAGTATAATCAAAAGAAAATGATTATAACTGCATAAAATTAAAATAAGGTATAAGAAAAAGCTTAATTTACATTTATGTATTGTCAACCCTTCTTCATTACACTTTCTTTTAAACGTTTAACATTTACAAATGTTAAAGGAAGAAAAACACTCCTTAATCAGCTTTTAATTTCTTTTTTTATTTTGAAAATGGATATGGGAAATTATCACTATAATGTCAAAGAGATATGAAGAATTTTTTATCCATACATGTATATAACATAGAAATAATTTAGAAAATCAGAATAAAACCTCTTATTTCTCATTTTATTAAATTTAACTCTTTGCGTTGATTTTTATGCCCCCCAGTAAATGGAGATATTTAGTTTCTGTCCTGCCTCCCCCCAACCCCATCCCCGTCTGACTATCTCTTCTCTCTCTCTCTCTCTCTCTCTCTCTCTCTCTCTCTCTCTCTCTCTCTCTCTCTCTCTCTCTCTCTCTCTCTCTCTCTCTCTCTCTCTCTCTCTCTCTCTCTCTCTCTCTCTCTCTCTCTCTCTCTCTCTCTCTCTCGGCCTGTTTTTTTTTTTTATGTTTGTCTGTTTGTACACATGTCTAATTTACCCATGATTTTTGAGTGGGTGATACGATGACTTTTTTTTACATGAGTATTTCCTGTATCAAGACCTTTTTCGGATACAAATATTTGACCTCTTGACCTTGGGATTTGATACTTTTATCGAAAATGTCCAAACCTGTATCATAGTCATAACTTTTGAACTTTATACTTTGCGTGTGTATTAATATTGTAGAAGATCTATCAAAGTATAGAGAGTGTTTATCTTTTACCTTGACTTTGAAGTTTGAATCACTTAATTAGCTTTAACCTCAGCAATAACATTTTCACAGTTAGTACTAGGCTTCGAGGATGTATTCCGTGTGACAAGACATTCCTTCTGGATACCAACATTTTTTATCCTTTGGCATTGGAGCTTGACTTGCATTTGAAAAAAAGTAAAACATCGCTTGAAGTTACTTTACGGGGCCCCAATATTTCATAAACACATTTTTTTCTGACAACGATTCAGAGTGATTTTTGTTTGGATTCTGTCAGAATTTTATTTGCTTATATGCCTTATATAATAGGACAGTATACAATCAATCTTATATAATAGACTGTAAGAGGTTTAAGGTAGTCCGATCCTCAGGTCCCGAAAATCAGGATTTTGGTAATTTAAAATCTTCACAAATATGTCTCTGGGGCCCGTTTTTCAAAAGATCTTACATTTGTACGACTTAGACCAAAAACTTAAAATAATTGTTTGTGAAAAAATATTTTACCACTTTTTATAAAGTTAAAAATAATTTTTGATAAAATATTGATTAAAAAGTTATATGGAGAATGAATTTTGGTCATATGTCGTAAGTACTTTTGAAAAACAGGGCCTTGATTCTGAAAATGATGTGTATTTACCTACAAAATTTCTTTTAAGTTCATCACTGAAGTTAATTAGATTATGTAGGGGGAGGGGGTATTATATAGTGAACTCATTGCTCACAGTACCTCTAGTTTTTATTAACATGATTAAGTTTAATTTTTTGTAAAAATAGACGGTGTAAAACATTTAAACTATCAATACAAGACTTTGCAAATCACTTTTTATTTTATATCATGAACTGTATTCAAGGCTAGATGAAAGACAACAAGTATTTCTATAAAAATGCATTAATTGTTGTAATTCATAGGGTACTGACGTTAAATTCTTAAAAGGTCATTTCTAAGACCTCAGAGAATCTTGGTTCATATTGAGATGTTTGAAATGAAAACCTTTGCATGAAAACAAAAATCAACTTCAATCTTAATTTAGTGCCTTTTTTATTAAATAATGATTTAAGAGTTATCCTTCCTATTCAACGATCGTTAATATTATATTAAAATTTTATTGTAAATATAAAAATCAAGTGTGAATTACTGTGGTGTAAATCACATAGACTAGCACGTAAACATATTATTGCATGAAGCGATAGCTATGTCTAAGTGTCAAGTCTCTGTGATTTACATACCAATAACTCACACAAATCTTAAAACCATTTCTTAAATACAAGCATAAAAGCATGCATTGCACAGATATTTAATACGTCAAAGGTATTAAGAGTAATTTTTAAAAGATGCACACTATGAATTCAAATTTATTTCAAAACAACAGAGGTCTGAATCCATCTGGTAAAGCATTGTTCAAGTTACAGACTTAGAAGGAGAAAAGCGTTATAGAATTTCTTGCTTGTTCTTACTAAAAACAACATATTCAAACATATTGTATATAAATTAAAAAAAAGAATATGAGTAAATTTCTTTTTAAGAAACACGTTGTTTTACCTGATATTTATTACTTTTAGCTCACCTGAGCTGAAAGCTCAAGTGAGCTTTTCTGATCACCGTTGTCCGTCGTCCGTCCGTTCGTCAGTCTGTCTGTAAACTTCATATTTTCAACTTCTTCTCAAGTACCACTGAGCCAATTTTAACCAATCTTTGTACAAAGCATTTCAATTATTAAAATCAAGGGCCAAGTCCGCTTCCAAGGAGGAGATAATCAAGAAAATACAAAACTAGGGTGGGATCATCAAAAAATCTTTTTCTCAAGAACCTCTGAGCCAGAAAAGCTTAATCTTATGTGGAAGCATCCTGGGGTAGTGTACATTCTAAAGTTTTCAAATCATGACCCCCGGGGGCAAGGCGGGGCCTCAATAGGGAATCCATGTTTTACATAGAAATATGTAGGAAAAAACTTTAAAAATCTTCTTTTCAAGAACCATTGGGCCAGAAAAGCTGAAACTTATGTGGAGACATTCTTGAAAAGTGTAGATTCTAAATTATTAAAATTATGATCCCCCGGGGGTAAGGAGGGGCCACTATAGGAAATCCAAGTTTTACATAGAAATATGTAGGAAAAAACATTAAAAATCTTCTTAAGAACCACTGGGCCAAAATAGCTGAAACCTATGTGGAAGCATTTTGAAATAGTGTAGATTCTGAATTGTTCAAATCATGACCCCCAGGTTAGGGTGGGGCCACAATAGGGAATCCAAGTTTTCCATAGAAATATATTGTAAAAAAAAACATTAAAAATCTTCTTCTAAAGTACCACTGGACAAGAAAAGCTGAAACGTGTTTGGAAGGATCCTTTAATAATGGAGATTCTAAATTGTTCAAATCATGACCCCTGGGGGTAGGGCGGGCCGTAATAGGGAATCCAAGTTTTACATTGAAATATAAATGGAACAAGATGTGTTTGTGAAGACTATGCGCCCGGCGGCAACAAAATTCGAACAAGAGGTCCATGGACCACATCGTTCACCTGAGAATCTTTTGTCATATTGTTCTTTACCAGATTTCGCCCTTGTAATACATATTGTGGCCCCGCCCTACCCCCTGGGGTCATGATTTACTACCCCAGGGTGCATCCACTTCAGTTTCAGCTTCTCTGGCCCAGTGGTTCTTGAGAAGAAGATTTTCAAAGATTTTTCCTATATATTTCTATGTAAAATATTGATGCCCCATTGTGGCCCTGCCCTACCCCCGGGGGTCATGATTTGAACAATTTAGAATCTACATTACCCCAGGGTGCTTCCACATCAGTTTCAGCCTTATTGGCCCAGTGGTTCTTGAGAAGAAGATTTTCAAAGATTTTTCCAATATATTTCTATGTAAAAATTTGATTCCCCATTGTGTCCTCGCCATACCCCCGGGGGTCATGATTTGAACAATTTAGAATCTACAGTACCCCAGGGTGCTTTCACATGAGTTTCAGCTTTTCTGGCCCAGTGGTTCTTAAAAGAAGATTTTCAAAGATTTTTCCTACATATTTCTATGTAAAACAATGATGCCCCATTGCGGCCCCGCCAAACCCCCGGGGTCATGATTTGGACAATATAGAATCTACAGTACCACAGGGTGCTTCAACATGAGTTTCAGCTTTTCTGGCCTTCGGCTCAGGTGAGCTAAAAAGCTATTTATAGCATATTGGTCACAGTCAAGGTCACAAGGTCATTGACTTTGGTGTCATTTGAATGAGCTTAATTAGTGGAGTATGAATACTAATTATGAAGTCTCTATCTATTATGGTTCAATTAAAGTAATGTCAAACGTTAAAGTTGACAACAGACAGATAAACAGATAAACAGATAAACAGACAAACAGACAGGACAAAAACAAAATATGCCCTGGATCTCTCGATCCGGGCGCAAAAAAATCTTTGAAAATCTTCCCAAGAACCATTGGTTCAGAAAAGCTGAAACTTATGTGAGAGCATCTTGGGGTAGTGTAGTGTACCCCTAAGGGTAGGGCGTGTTCACAATTGGTATTAAAAGAGGGGAAATCTGTTTAAGAACAGCATGGCCAAAGTTTCTCAGGTGAGCAATGTGGCCCGTGGGCTTCTTGTTTTGACCTATTTTGGTTGTAGATGTTGTGTCTACTATGATTGGATGGACTTAACTGTCCAGAAAAAATGCAGTTAATTAAAGTTTCAGAAAATGTTCATTTCTTTCCATCTTTTAAATCCCTGATAGCTTAACCTTGTATAGATATGATTTGAAATGCTCTTTTTGAGGAAAATTAAATAAATATTGAAGGCACTAAACCTTCAACCAAACCTGGCGCAAGGTATCCTTAGGTAAACGGGATTCAAGTTTGTTCAAATGAAGGGCCACGATCTTATTCAAAGGGGGATGTTGCAACCACTATTGAATTAACGACCACTATTGAAATAATTATATCAATAATGGTTGAGATTGCATTTCAATAGAAAACATTATTAGTAACCACTATTGAAATACAACCACTATTAAAATAATTATATCAATAGTGGATGAGAGAGCATTTCAATAACAAACATACGTAATAACCACTATTGAAATACAACCACTATTGAAATAATTATTTTAATAGTGGTTGAGAGTAAATTTCAATAACAAAAATACGTAATAACCACTACTGAAATGCAACCACTTTTTTAATAAATATATCAATAGTGGTTGAGAGTGCATTTCAATAACAAACATAGGTAATAATCACTATTGGAATACGTCCACTATTGAAATAATTATTTCGGTAGTGGTTGAGAGTGCATTTCAATAATATTGAAATACGACTACTATTGAAATAATTATTTTAATATTTGGTGAGATTCATTTCAATTACAAACATAGGTTGCAACCACTATTAGAGTAATGTCCACTTTTGAAATTTTACATAGAAATATATACGACAATTCTTTAAAAATCTTCTCAAGAACAGCAAGGGCATAAATAGTCATATTTATATGGTAGCATCCTCATGTAGTGTAGATTCAGGTTTGTTCAAATCATGACCACCGGGGTTAGGACGGGGCAAAAATGGCCAATCAAGGCTTTACGTAGAAATATATAGGGAAGGCCGAGGCCATAACAAGGAATCTAAAGTCTACATAGGCCATTATTAAATTTAAACTTTTCAATAATAAACTAATTTCTGCTTTTCCCCAGCCACATTGCTCGGGTGAGCAATGTGGCCCACGGGCCTCTTGTTATTCTGATTTCATTTGTAAACAAAAATATGGAGTGTAAAGAAGAAGTAAATGTATATCACCGTTTCATCTTTTTTCAGCAACGTATATTTGCGGTTCGTTTTGAATTTTGTTACACTTATTGTAAGACATTTTGTTATAAATAATATGGACGTTAGGAAACCAACATCTTTCTGTGCTTGATTCATCTCTTATATGATAGACTTCTGATGATAGAATGCAAAAAAAAAATCATGGACTATCTGACCATTGGCTAGTATTTTATGGCAACCTGTTATATATTCAATATATCAAAAAATATCAAAGAATGACTGCACTTAAGCTATGAAAGTTGGATCCCGATGTTTTGCGCAAAATAAAATTCCGAAATTCATTCAATTTATGTTTCATTGGTATTAAACAATATCTTAAGAGCAGGTTTTGGTATATTATATAACATGAAAGTATTAAACAATGCCGAGCGACACTAGCTTTTGAGATGGGGGTCTAATAGTTTTGTCTCATTTCTATTGTTATTCATACATGTCATATGCATACCAGTTTTCAACGACTTTGTTTACATCGAGCCGCAACTTGGCCATTTTTATTATTTGCACAGAATGTGTATTTGAACTTAAACTTATACATATCCAAAGGACAATGTTGGTCAAGTTGCGGTTCATATCTAATTTTTAAAAAATGTCCCCAAACTAGGGTCGAGATAGTTACTAAATTAACCAGTCACCGTGCATCAACGATTGATATTATAATCACCTTAATCACGTAACATTCTGCTGTTCGATACGCTAACTTTTTCATTGAACATATCATTGTGTTTAAGTCTCTGTTGTGACAGTATCTATCGTATTTCAAACTTCAAACTATAGGGATATTTAAGCGCAAATTTTAATAGGGTTTGAAGATATGTCTCTTATTTAACTTTATGCTTTACATTAGGGGTGTTTTGAAAAAATTCTGGTATTGACAGTGTCAATAGTAAGTACATGTATAGGCTTTTGTTGCCTCTGTATTATGGTTTGTAGAGCGAGACATCTACCCCATCCCTTAATATTAGAATCATTTAATAATTGTGCACCATAAAATCAACAGGATCTCTCTCTTCTCCATTTAAATTCATAGTGCGAAAAAATCATATGTGCTAATGTTTACATTCCACAACCATGCGGTTTAAATGACTCCGCCTATTTGCGAAAATCTTAGATTCAAAAGTTAATTGTCCCGTTCAAAATTTCCGGAATTTAAGGCTTTTACATGTTCTTTTCAATTATATTTTCTGTGATTATAGAAATATGTATGACAAAAATTTCTAGAAAGAAATATCAAAAGCATATGCTTGCGCATTAATCATAGATTAATTTAGCGATATATTGTAACGTAAAGCTTAAAATGGGTAGCAGAAAAGGTTCCAACTCTCAATGCTTAGGTGCAGTCATTCTTTCTTAAGATTGAGTGTTTAGAGTAATCGCTAAAAAGATCTGAAACAAACCTGCCAAAATGGTATCAACAAGGCAACTATCTGGTAACATGCATTCATGATGCTTTTAAGGAGGGAAATAAAACGTGAAAGTCCTTTTCTTTATTTCCTGAACAAAAAAGAAATCTTTCACATTATTCCACATCAAGTATTTATCTAAAAAAAAATAATCATGTATACATGTGTTTTAAAGTATGCAGAGTACTGAATACAGTTTTCAAGGCGGCGTCTACGATGGTTAGGAGAAAATTATTTATAATGCATTTCATTTAAATCATAAATCAAACTGCTATTTATCTCTTTGAAGCCACAGTGTACCTTTAATCAAATGGGTATCGCCATGGATTCTAGACACAGCAAAACATGATACTTTTCTTGGCATAAGTATTTATCAGAAGACCAGTACAATACACGACAATAATCATACCTTTACTTATGAATTGAATACTAATATTAAATAAATGACAGATACACCTACCTGAGGTACGCACGATTATAACGACCTACTTTCGTTTTAGATACCTTGCTAACATTTCGGGTTTTCTTGAAGTTGCAGTTTCGGATCTGCTATGAATTATTCAATTATTGATCGTCATTAGTTTAATGCCTCGGTATATTTTAACACAAGTATGAACGATTCCGCTTTAAATTTAATATCTGTCCTTATCGAAAACGAGAAGACTTCAAATCTCAATCGTGTTTTAGTCTGTCCTTCTATCACAAAAACAATTACCTCGGTTATAATTTCTGAAAAAGGAATTAGAGCTTTCGTATTTGTATTTTAATAGGTCATTACCCATGACAAGACTTTCCAAATAGACCATTTTAATATTGAACCCGTGACCTAGGCTTTAAGGTTTGCCTTACTTTTCCTAAAAAAATACACACAATAAAAGGGCCATGCAAGTAACTTTTGAGAGATAACATTATTATACATATTTATTATCTTAAAAGGCGTCTGTAAATAAACTATGATTTAAACTGTGACCTTGACCCTAAAGTTTGACATACTTTAAAAAAAAAAGGTACATTTGATTTTAACTTTTAAGTTAGAAGAGGTAATACTTTGCTACTTGATTTAAAATATGAATTTAACAATGTTTTCCGGTATTCCTTTGATTCTTTCCTCCATGGCATTGACCTTTATGGAAATAATAGTGTTCCATATATGGAGACTTTTTCCATACTAATTGTTAGTCCAGTACTTGCACACTGCATTGATGACAGATCTTTCCCCTATTTCCCGAACATGACAATGAGCACACGACGGGTGTGACAGGTCGGGAGAGGATGCTTACACCTCCATGACACTTTATCCCACCTACGGTGCTTCGAAGGTCCATGCTTGCATTGCATCAATTTTGTATTTTTATGGACTTTTGTGCTTGAATATTGTTTGTAATCTCCATATGTTGCATTTCAATTAAGTTCGTCAGATAGTCTGCAACTGTTGTTTTTTGTTGAATACGCTTAAGTTAATTTTCCCACAAAGAATGGGCGGACTTAACTGCCCAGAAAAATGCCACAAATTAATGTTTCATGAAATGTTGATTTCTTTCGATCAAAAAAAACACACCATTTTCATAGTACATAAATGACATTAAAATGTTCCTTTAAAGGAAAACTAAATATATTTCAAAGGCATAGTGCCTGAAGTTTCCTCGAATATCAAAAGATAATCAGATCACGTTTTTCATCGTCTGAATGATAGACAGCGCATATTTTTGGGTGTTCCTAAGAAAACTGTAAATAAATAATGTAATATTAAAAAGAGAAGAGCCAATAGACTTGATTAAAAAAAGATATTCAAAATAAACCTTTGCTTCCATTGTTATAACCTCCATTTGACTTCGATTTACCTGTTGAATATCACAATTCATCACGTAAAGTCCACTTAGCTGCATGTATATTCGTGTAAACAATTACATTGTATTATTCAGCCTGACCCGATCAAAATCTCATTTAGGAGCGTGTTCTGAATTAAGCAAATTACATTTTGCTCTGACCTTAAGCTTGCGTGTTCCCATATTTTTCTCAATTTCATATTGGCACGGCTATTATATACCATATTCATATTTGACATCATGCATTGTATACAATTTTAACAATATCGAACCTGAATATATACATGTATGTGACCTAATGTTTGCGTATAATTTCTGCATGATAAATGCAGTTCTGTGGTGTAGTGGAATATCTCTAGCTTCACATGTGAGAAGTCATGAGTTCGAACCCTGGAGGATCCATTTTCTTTATCTTTTACTTAGGCCATATAAAATTAATCTTTAGATTCTCATCCCCACCCGCCCCTCTCAAAATGTCCCGCCCCGATATTTTTTATTTAGATTTTTGGGTATTTTCATGTATTTTCATTCAGTAAGAATTTGGGTCAAAGTTTAAGAGTTATCTCCCGTCTATATCAAAAGTCGCGTGTCGCTATTTATAGCAAAAACGCCATGTGAAGAATGGAGAAAAATCGGCAATAAAAGCAGTTTAAATGTGTAAGGAAAAGATAATTTGTCAGTATAGAGAAGGCAGAGAAGAAAAAATAGCATAAACACATATAGATACCATCACTGGCAGGAGCAAGTATGTAGAGAGATTGCTACTAAGTAAAAATAGACGAGGAAAGTCAAGTTATATGTAACGATCTCCAGCTGTGTGACTTAGCTTTGAAAAAAAAAACGAATTTACAACATCGTAGACAGACTTAAGAGAAGGCCTAGATTTTTCAGTAGAATAATTATTAGAACATTTTTATAGATTTTGCAAAATAAGAAGTCACGCATACACAATTTATTGGTATCCCCACCTCATTTTGTTCAGGGTGTGCCGTATAATGTGTACTTGATAATTTGTTAATTAACGATAGATATTTTAACTTTTAAAGCAAAAAATTTCTTTAAATATTTAAAAGAATATGAAAAGAATTAAATCTATTCATATTTGCATTAAGGTAATGAAAAAAATGTGTACGGGGCGTCCATTGTTTTGTTGATACTTAGGCCTATATATAAATTAACAATTATAAAAAATAAAAAATAAAATCCGCCCACCCGCCCCATTTTTTTGCAAATTAGGACGAGAATCTAAAGATTAATTTTACCTGGCCTAAATGTAAATATTCAGCATGTGAAATGAAAAAGTTATGACGTCTGCTTTCATCATTACAGTGGGATGAATATTCTATACAAAAAGAATCTGCTTTACACATAATAAAGAATAAGCATTCAAATCTTTATACCCATATTGGCATATTTAATTTGCTTCAGTATACATGAAGAATATGGGGATAACGAACAGTATTCAATATCAATGTCCATAAAACAATACAAAATAGGAGCAGAGCAAATACGGGCCCCCGAATTATCAGAAGTAATAATTCATGTAAGTACTAAGGGTGTTTGTTAACATCTTCTAAGTTGTTTGAAAATTTATTTTCAGATTTGTACTCTATTAGTGTCCCCCACTTTTCGCTTAAGCGAGGGGACAGTAAATCCCATTCGTCTGTCCTTCTGTCCGTCCGTCACCAAAACGTAAACATTGCCCATACCTTTTGATTTAGTGGAGCTATGATTTCATATTTCACATGTTTATTCCTTCTGACAAGACCTTTCTTTGGCTACCACCAAATTTGACCTTTTGACCTTGACCTCGTTTGACCTCTTATTACACAAAAATTTTTAACTTCTACTTTGGCCATGACTTTCGAACGGTAAATACAAGGATTTTAATATTTCAAATATGTTTTTCTTGTCGCAAGTACTTTCATTGGATGCGATCAATTTTGAACTTTTGAGCTTGACCTTGATAAACTGTAACCTTTGCCAAAACTTTTGAACAGTTAGGGCTAGGGTTTTCATACTTCAAATATTTAATTCTTGTGAAAAGACCATTTATTGGATATTAATAACTTTGACCTTCTGACCTTGACCTTGACGTTTGAACTATTTTTCAAACTTTAACCTTGCCTATAACTATTGAACGGTAAAAGCTAGGGGTTTCATACCTCACATTTGTAATCCTTGTTACAAGACCTTTCTTAAGAAACTAAACACTTTGACCTTGTAGTTTAGCCTTCTTTTCAAAACTTATCCTTGGCCATAACTTTTGAACAGGTGGCTGTTAGAGCTTTCATATTTCACACTTCACATATTTAATCCTTATGACAAGACCTTTTATTGAATATCAATAGCTTTGAACTTCTGACCTAGACCTACTTTTTAAGACTTTAACCTTGGCCGTAACTTTTGAACAGTAAGGGCTAGGGCTTTCATACTTCAAATATCTAATCCTTGTAACAAGATCCAACATTTGATAACAAGAACTGTAACCCTTTGACCTTGACCTTTGACTGACCTACTATTTAAAAAAATATAACCTTAGCCATAACTGAAGAATTAGGGCTAGGGCTTTTACATTCCACATATTTTATCCTTCTGATAAAACCTTTCATTTGATATCAAAAACTTTGACCCTCTGACTTTGACCTTGAAGTTTGACCTGCTTTTTTAAAAACTTCAACCTTGACTATAACTATTGAATAGTAAAGGCTAGGGCTTTTATGCCTCACATATGTAATCCTTGTGACAAGACCTTTTTTATGAAACCTATTTTTTTAAAAAAAAATATCCTTGGCCATAACTTTTGGACAGGTGTTGTTAAGGCTTTCATATTTCAAAACCGTATTTCTTGTGAGAAGGCCCTAATTTGGGTAACAATATATCTAACTTGCATTTCAGAAAAGTTTTATCTCTGATTTAACTTGCCATATGGTGTCATTAGTGTTAAACAAGCACATCTTGTTCATTATAACTTTTAATTGAGAAGAGATAGGGCTTTCATATTTGACATGTGCATTACCTGTGACACGATATTTCTGAGCATGGCATGATTTCTGACTCCTTGACCTAACCTTCACGATTGACCTTATTTTTTAAAAGGTCAGCTTCGGTGATAATATCTAAATGACATATGATAGGGTGTTCATATTTGACACAATATGTCATAAAAAATGACATATCACCAACAAACACACCAAAAAGCGGGGGACAACAATTCTTGGAATTGCTTGTTGTATAAAATTCGAATCGATAATCGGGATGTGGAAGTGTAATAGTTTTCCGCAAAAAAAAAACAAAACAAACAAACAAACATGGTAATCTGATTAAGGACAGAGTAAGCTATCAGGATGTTCATCTTCCTTCAGACATCGATACAGGAACAATAGCTGAACATTTTCAAAACTTACCTTAACATTACATTAACTTTTGCACAACACTAGGACACTGAAGTAAAGCTTATGTTTAAATTACAATTTATTTTATAAAGTTCCAGTATATGGTCCCAATTTATTGTTTAAATTGTTTACTTAATTCTAGCTTGTTTGTTTTATATATAAATCAATCAGTATGTTGTATTGTAAGTTATAAAAATGACAGTCAAACATTTACGAAGCGCTCTGATCTGGGCCGTACATCTCGGAGTTGGGCTCTTCGGAGCAATGTTCTAAGAGGGAAAGACACTATACAATCAGGATCCACTAAATGATCAGTGTCTACGATCAGGAGCCACCATACGATTAGTACTTGTATTCTCTAATCACTTTCAGTACTTTAAAATAAACTGTTTGAAGAAAAATTGGCTTACATGAAGAATATGGAGATCTGTATCCATTAATATCAACGATGAAAGGATAAAAGAAGCAAATTAGATTAGTTTTCACCCCATAGGTATACATTTGCTTAGAATTTCTAGAAAGATGTCCTGAGATGGACATTGTCCGCGAACTTTCGAACAGCCCTTGTAAATAATTGTTAACTGTAATTTTTAAGCCGTCATTATACAGTTGGACATTCTCTATATCCTGGAATTTTATTTGCCTTTAAAAGAGCCTCTTTGTAATCTTCCTTTGATTGATTGTTGTCCGTTCTTCGTATTCCATGAGTGTTAACTAATTCTTCTAAAACGAAAAAAAAAGAAGATTTCAATAAATCCCTTTTGAATAACTAGGTAAACAATTTACATTATTCAATTCTTTGGAAAACAAAAAAAAAATATATTGCCTAAACTATTGAAGCAAGGAAAAGATGTGAAAAAGTTTAAATTTAATTTATGATAATAAATAAATAATATTACATGTATAATATGATGCATAATAATATACATCTCATCGCGCACTTTTTAATCTCACATAGTTTTCGCACAAATTAAGGTCACATTCTTCTTTTACTAAAATTAACATTTTCAAGCTTCAGTTTGACGACATAGCCCTAAGATCTATTATATAGATATATCTAAGGGTTAATGTCCTTTAGAACTATTATCTTAAGTTTCCAAAGTGACTGTATTAAAGGGGAATTTATCAGTATTTTGTTGTCTTTATACACAATATCGCATTATTAAAATGTGCCTGACGTTAAACAATGAGCTTAAAAAGTGTGCGGAGCTGTATACGTAACTTTATACTATAAAGTATGAATTTCTTTACCTGTCCCCTTTTTGGGGATCTTGCCTAATTTTAATGATTTGAATCTGCGCTATCTAGGGAGGCCTGTATAAATTTACTTGTCACGGTCCTATGTTTCTTCAAATTATTGCAATATATTTATGTAAAATTTGTGGGCATTCATTAAACATGGACAATGGCTAGAAGGAAGTGCAAATTTGAATCTACCCTATCTTGAAATGCTAGGAAATTAAAACGATTGACTTTCTTTTGATAAGGAAGTTCAAAGATTTGGCTGCTATACATTTTTATTTAAAACTTTGATAAGCCATGATCTAACTCATCAACTCAAACGTATGATTTAACCAATGTTTGAAATGCTAGGAAATTAAAACGATTGACTTTCTTTTGACAAGGAAGTTCAAAGATTTGGCTGCTATACATTTTTATTTAAAACTTTGATAAGCCATGATCTAACTCATCAACTCAAACGTATGATTTAACCAATGTTTTTAAGACAAAAATTCAGCAACCCCAAAATATGGTCATTAAGATAGCCCATAACACTGCACAATAAAGATCTCTACTTTTAGGGCAAGTATTTTTCAGGTACGGTGATCTGTAAAAGCGGTAGAGAAAATATTTATATACAGTTACTTCCTTTTTTTTCAATAGATTAGAATATTCTAAGCGCTATATCTTACTACGAATAAGTAATTCGTAATGATCCCAATGCAAGTAAGTATTAGTGATTTCTATTTACAGATTGATGAGTTGTTTCGATACGCAAGAGCATATTCTACATGTAAGTGTGAAGCATTTCTAAAACGAAAAAAAGTTATTGACAAACAAGTTATTGATACAAGAAAATCGAAAATCTATTTCAAAGTTATATTTCGTAAGATCTAAAGATGATAAAATGGCATTGTCAGCAAATGCAATCTACCATTTAGTCAAATACTGACAGCCTTTTTTCGTACTAATTGTTAGGCCATATTTTCTACATTGAATTTGTCCACGAATATTTCTGTTATTTTTCGATCATGAAACAAATCTCACACGGCAGGTGTGACCGGTCGCCAAAGGATGCTCATTCCATAGAACCTTATCCGACCTCTCATGTTTTAGAAGTTCACGTTTGTATTTCTCAAAAAATTGTATAATTTAAATGGGTTTTTCAGCTTGAATACTGTTTGTTTACAGGGTTCTCCATCGTTTGAAATTTTACTATATGGCAGAGGTTACGCGAAACACTAAAATTTTGCGGTATTTTCAAGGTTAAATTTGCTACTGAATCACTACTATTCATTTTAATTACAAAAGAATGCACACATTTTTTTCAGAAATCACTAATTCGTTACACAATTGGTTTGGTCGATATTAAAGTAAAAACACGTTCTGAAAAGCAGAGGAAATTCTCGTTGATGCATTCGACCTACTTACAATTTTTGAAGGTAAATTTGCCTTGATTTTTTTGTAAGTTTTCTTGATCGAATTGCCGAATTACATAAAAAGTAAGTTAAAAATAGTAAATACTTAAAAGAGTTCCTTGAAATTCTAAAACAATTTATTTACATCAATTAAATGATCCCGGTACGATGTTATGTTTCACTGAGACTGTCAACATAATTCTAGAGTCGTGGCTGCATAGAAAAGACATATCTAAATATTTTTTAAAAATAATACAATGTATTTTAATGCAACTACCAATTAATTGTTACTTGGAAGTGTGAAAACAATTTTTTGGTCTATGTTCCTTCATGCGTAAAGTCCGGCAAGGGTCTAGAAAATAAATGATTATACCAAGTAAGGTCCTAATTAAAAAAAAATATATGTTAGGATTTTCTGATTATCACAGATCTTACTGTGTCGCATGCATAAAATTGGAATCGTTACTGTATATGTGTCGGAAAAATTCAACTGTGTCGGGACTAACACAGTTAAACAGCTTATGGAGAACCCTGATTACTATCTCCATATATTTCAAGCTACGTCCCTGAAACGTCCTGTACCAGAACATAACAAGCGGTTGAAAATGATTTTAGGCAAAAAACAAACAAACAGAATGATCAATTAAACGTTTTTAACAGGTCTAAACAATATATGTAACTAAATGAGCTATTGAAATCTTACCTAAAGGCTCGACAACGTTTTTTTCTATGTCTTTATTCTCTGAAAATAAATAATGCAACAGGACCTAAATTTCTATTTTCCCATGAGATTTTTCTCGTGACAGTTAAATGCAGATTATTGAAAAGCATAAACAGACTGTATAGAAATTAAATTTAATGATATATTTTTCTGCTCCCTTTTCCCTTACATGTAGCAATTCTTCTTTAGCATCAAATCGTACAAATACAGTGTATATTGTTTGTTTTTATTGTTCAAAAGATCCTATATTAATATTAATGGGTTTTTAAAAACACGTCGTTTAGATAAGAGCGCTAATGTAGCAAAATTTATTTTTTTCCCATGCATCTACACAATGATATTCATCAAAGGAACAAGTAGAAATAGAAAACACGAAATTCTCATGTTCAGTTCAGCAAAAGGTAACAGACAAAATCTGCACAAAATATTTTTAACGAGGTTCGCTCCCCGGCTTTTCAGTAGATTTTTGTCTTGGCCTTTATCTAAAAAAAATTAAATACTATATTCGACACTCATGGCAATTGAGTAGTAAGGATTTTTTTTTGTTATCACCTACTGCGACAACGACATACTTTCTATACGGTCTTATCCGAAGGACCGGTGTCCACATTCCGTAATGGGATTCGAACCCGCGACGATCTTACTTACTTACTTAATCTGCGATTAAAAGCAAGCGTTCTAACCACTACGCAACGCAGGTGGCAGAATGTTTTTGCGAACTGTACAACAATGACAAAGGCATTTCTGTTTTGAGGTAGGTTTCATGAGAAATGATGACTCTTTATCACCATAGCGAGTCAAATGACCTTATAAATTGCACATAACTCTTTAACATCAAAGAAACAAGAAAACAGTGATGAAACTTTCAATTCTTACCGGGTAAATAAATACATGTAATATAAACAAAGAAAATAAGTCTTGATTATCAAAATTGTTTGATTATCTGTGATAAAGATATGCGTCTGAATGATAGAGACTATAGTCGAGAAGATGTACGGAAAGCTTCTAGTCAGATACATATCGAAAAAATGACACCCTTTAAAACTATACGACCCCCTCAAGTAACTGTTGGCTGCATAAAATAAATTTAAATCAAACACTTACATCATTTGTCATAAAAATAGTTTTGACAGAATGAATATAAATCACAAACTGCATAATGTACCTTTTTCTGAGAAAAGTAAAATTAAATATTCTAAAACTTTATAATAGTACGGAAGCGTATTAGTGCCACTTGCACACTTATCTTTTTTTTAATTTCTACACTTTAATCTGTAAATTTTACACTTTAATCTGTAAATTTTACACTTTAAAGTGTAAATTTTACACTTTAATCTGTAAAATTCACACTTTAATCTGTAAAATTTACACTTTAATCTGTAAAATTTACACATTAAAGTGTATATTTTACACTTTAATCTGTAACATTATTTTACACTTTAATCTGTAAAATTTACACTTTAATCTGCAAAATTTACACTTTAATCTGCAAATTTTACACATTAAAGTGTAAATTTTACACTTTAATTTGTAAATTTTACACATTAATCTGTAAATTTTACACTTTAAAGTGTAAATTTTACACTTTAATCTGTAAAATTTACACTTTATTGTGTAAATTTTACACATTAATCTGTAAAATTTACACTTTAATCTGTAAATTTTACACTTTAATCTGTAAAATTCACACTTTAATCTGTAAAATTTACACTTTAATCTGTAAAATTTACACATTAAAGTGTAAATTTTACACTTTAATCTGTAAATTTTACACTTTAATCTGTAAAATTCACACTTTAATCTGTAAAATTTACACTTTAATCTAGAAAATTTACACATTAAAGTGTAAATTTTACACTTTAATTAATAAATTTTACACATTAATCTGTAAATTTTACACTTTAAAGTGTAAATTTTACACTTTAATCTGTAAAATTTACACTTTATTGTGTAAATTTTACACATTAATCTGTAAAATTTACACTTTAATCTGTAAATTTTACACTTTCAAGTGTAAATTTTACACATTAATCTGTAAATTTTACACTTTAATCTGTAAATTTTACATTTTAAAGTGTAAATTTTACACTTTAATCTGTAAATTTTACACATTAATCTGTAAATTTTACACTTTAATCTGTAAATTTTACACTTTCTTTTGAACAACCTGAACTGCAATAGGTTATAATCGAACAGTCGATTTGTGATGTTTTACCTCTGAGACTTGAGAAAAAGTATTAAACTGAGATGTTTACAAATGTTTGTATATTTTTATTTTACATGTACTCGTATTTATTTATTAGTATATGATAAACAAGGATGGACTATTTCCTCATGGGTCTCGTAATATTCCCCAGCATAAGAAATCAGGGATCTGCTTTTGTTTCAGTATATATACATGCGTTTCTTTAGTTTTACTATAGAGTAACGAAAGTAAAAATATATATCTCAAAGATTATTTTATTTGCAGTTCAGATTGATATTACGCTTCCGTTATCATCTTGCATGATTATCGGTCTGTTGGCTTTCAAATGCGTTACTGGGAATGTGTGAAGTTGCTTAATTGAATAAACAAATAAAGTGTAAATTTTACACTTTAATCTGTAAAATTTACACTTTAATCTGTAAATTTTATAGCTTAAAGTGTTAAATTTACACTTTAAAGTGTAAAATTTACACTTTAAAGTGTAAAATTTACAGATTAAAGTGTAAATTTTACAGATTAAAGTGTAAAATTTACGCTTTAAAGTGTAAAATTTACAGATTAAAGTGTAAAATTTACACTTTAAAGTGTAGAAATAAAAAAAAAGTGAAGTGTCCAAGTGGCACTAATACGCTTCCGTAGATCATAACCTATTGCAGTTCAGGTTGTTCAAAATAAAGTGTAAAATTTACAGATTAAAGTGTAAAATTTACAGATTAAAGTGTAAAATTTACAGATTAATGTGTAAAATTTACAGATTAAAGTGTAAAATTTACAGATTAATGTGTAAAATTTACACTTTAAAGTGTAAAATTTACAGATTAAAGTGTAAAATTTACAGATTAAAGTGTAAAATTTACAGATTAATATGTAAAATTTACACTTTTATGTGTAAAATTTACACTTTAAAGTGTAAAATTTACACTTTAAAGTGTAGAAATTAAAAAAAAGTGAAGTGTCCAAATGGCACTAATACGCTTCCGTATAATAGAGCAGCCTGGTCTTCACCATTTCCTCTTACAGTGTAAAATAGCGCAATATTTTGCAATATCTGGACGTTCTGCAAAAAAGCAGAGAGAAACTCATCTTCTGTTGTTCACTTGAAAAAAAACACATCGCAGTACTGTGATGGCTACCCATAGCTTTAAATGTAACACTGAATACAATGTCGATTTTAAGTTTTATTTTTAAATTACATGTATATACCTAAATTCGGCCAATTCATATAAAGAGTACCCAATGCTATATATATACATATTTGTTACGCTATCACAATGACCTCGTTAATTAATTGTTCACGGTCGTGGGACGGTCATTTTTATCTTTTTTAAGTGCTTCACATAAATCGCTTCGGCGCAGCCCTATAACACAATTATTGCGTGGACCCTGCGGTCCACGCAGTAAATATATAAGCGACGTTAAACAGGATGCCATTGGCATACGACAGGCTACGCATGCGCGAGAATGCTGGGGAGTTTGCAATCGTATTATCTCGGGGACTTTCCGTCAGAAGTCGGAAAAACAACTTAGCCAGTCGGAAAGGCCCGATAATGTGCGATTGGGAGAGTTCGCCCCCTTGCTAAGACAGCTTACCCGCGAATTCGCCCTTTTCGAGAATATACCTTGTTCAATGGCAAATTTCGCTTTTAAACCTGCATATCGTATTTACTTATTTATTGGCGCTCTTAGACATATACTTTTGTATGATTGCGCCCATGAGAAAAGGGTCCTTATGACATTATAAGCGACGTTAAACAGAATGCCATGGGCATACGACAGGCTACGCATGCGCGAGAATGCTGGAGAGTTCGCAATCGCATTATCTCGGGTCTTTCCGTCAGAGGTCGGAAAAACAACTTAGCCAGTCGGAAAGGCCCGATAATGTGCGATTGGGAGAGTTCGCCCCCTTGCTAAGACAGCTGACCCGCGAATTCGCCCTTTTCGAGAATATACCTTGTTCAATGGCAAATTTCGCTTTTAAACCTGCAATTCGTATTTACTTATTTATTGGCGCTCTTAGACATATACTTTTATATGATACAAACTTAAAATTAATTCTATGGCAGATGCATTTTAAAAGTAGGAAGAACTTGACTTCATCGGCATTTGTTTTTTGCATCAAGGCTCGCAAAAATAATTCTAATTACAGCAATCCAAGTATAGCGTGATACAGGCCTGTAGCAAGAGTTTTTCCATATGGAGAAAAAGGGGGGGGGCTGAAAAAAAATATCTGCGTACTTGTGCTACACGTGTATCATCCGATATATTTTTCAAATTATATAGATTTCTTCCGTATAAATCCAGAACAGATGTCAAGTCCCAGCCATTATGGGTTATATTATCATTTAACAGTGCCGGATCCAGGAATTTCGTAACGGGGGGGGGGGGGTGGGGGGTGGGAAGCAGTAGAAGTCCGAAGGTCAGGTGGCTGTACCGAAGCTCCCCGTGGGTCTTTTTTTTTTTTTTTTTTTTTTTTTTTTTTTCAAATATGAGATGTTTTTGCCTTGATGTTAGGATAATAGAAGTATACTTAAAAACTTCAAACGGAGAGGGGGGAGAGGGGCATGCCCGGCGCGCCAGAACTGGATCCGCCTTTGTTCAATATAGCCAATTTTTTGAAAATGACAAAACTATATAGGCCAATCGGAGATAAAATTTAACAATTTTGCTATGAAAGTGCTGTCAGTCAAAGTAGGCAGATCATGATAGAAACTGTGATCAAACTTACATGAATATTCACTAAACCGAGAAATTGTCTTGAATTGACTGAATTTCGGTTAGAAACACATGCATATGGTCCACGTATTGTAGTCCTTTTTTAAAGGAGAGCAAATTGTTTATAACTTTTGGCATGTCAATAAACTCGTGTCAACCTTAATAACCCGAAATGTGTTTGGGAAAAGTTATACTATTACTCTGGTACAAAGTATTTCACATTAACTTCAACTTATCGACAAATCTGAGGGAGATTTTCCGTTCAATATCGTCATCTGTTTTAAAACAAAGCCATCATACATTTTTCCCAAGCAAGATTCAGTTGGAGGAGAGACTCCTCTTACAGATTTTCACAAAACATCTCAAATTAATTCTCATTGATGACCTGCGCCAGGCTCTTTTATACACATGTTTTGAATTCTGCCTCTATCCACGAGTATGAAAAAGGATAAGTGTCAAACTTATATTTTCGTTGGTGTTATGAACACGTTGACTTTTACACAAGAGTAATAAAACAAAGTTATCTAAATTATTCTGATATATTTTTTAAAAAAAGTTTAAAACACGTTTATTTTAAACTAGATTTCTGCATATTTATGTGCAGATTGAAATACGGTGTAAGGTTTATGACACTCTCCCCTTCATTTCATCGCAAGTTTGCAGTGACCTGACTTCATTTTCAATTATGACATCATACATTCGTTATTCAGAAAAGTATATGCAGAAAGTACACTGCAATTTTCTCTGGGAAGTCTTATCGTACTATCGATCTTGGGAATGAAAGTATGAAAGAACAACGAAATGAGTGCGATAGAAATCGGAAAACAATGAGATGCAATCAATATATGTAGTTACAAATTGTATACAAATTCTCCATGATATCAATCCAAATCTTACCAAGAAAAATAGGAACCGGATCTATTGTCTCTTCCTTATTTGCTGAAAGAAAAAACAGTTTCTTTCATCTTTAATAAAGTTTATAGATGTTCAAAACATTCATGTTGGTTCTTTCCCTTAATTTGCTCCATCAACACTCTTAAAAGTACACAAACCATGTTTGGATTTAATTACATATGGGAAATGATATATTGGGAAAGATTCTTTTTCAATAAGCACCTGATCGTACGTGTTTGAATTCGTGCAAATCCTCAAATGAGAAAGCCACGACGAACTAGCATCTTAGTCACTACTCCCTGAACGTCTACTGACTGTAACAACTCTTTATTTATCACGCTCAAATAAGAGACACAGTAAGTGTTTAGCTGTGTTACCTTGATTTAACAAGATTTAAACATTTTCCTGAAAGTGTTGTGTACTAGAGTACAGGGGCAGGATTCATTAAACTTCTTAATATATTCTTAAATTTAAAAAATCACTTAAGCAAGCATATAACTTTTGCCCTAACACAATTACAATTCTAATATGTACAATCAAACAGTCGTGTTAAGATACTAATTTTGGGCAGAAAAAATACATCTGTCAGTGTATCTGGAAAGTAATTGACATATTGTATTATGAGACCTATTTTATAATACTTCAAGTGACTGTGATACATTATATACTTACCCTTTTTCTGTCTAAGGATTCTAAAGAAAAGTGCCAGGAGAGCAACCAATGCACTAAACACAAGTAGACTAATAACACCTGCAATGATTGCTGTCATCAGTTGGAAACTGCCTCTGAAATATAAATGTACATCTATGATACCGTATCTTAACTTATTACAATTCTTTCCCATTATTTTCTTGCATTTTCTTGCATTGGTTTCCCTTATGTATTCGATGAAGCGTTATGATGATAGCTAACACTTATTAACTATTTTATTAGTTAACACAATAATTATTAGTACACAATTGCAAATGAATAAAAATATAATTCGTCACATCTCTTATTTACCAATAGATAAAGGTGTGCAATCCATTCAACTAAATGTTCATTAAGAGGTCTAGAAGAGTAGTTGAAAAGCAGAGCACTTATGCAAAGAAAAGAGTGATTTATGGAGTTTGGTCAAGAACCAGTTTTGAACATGTTCAACACTTATGATTATGAAAAAAATCATCACTCATATGCTACACTGAAAGAAGAGGTCGATGGTTATACATATAATATATATATATATATATATATATATATATATATATATATATATATATATATATATATATATATATATATATATATATATATATATATATATATATATCATTGCACAAGCTATATATATATATATATATATATATATATATATATATATATATATATATATATATATATATATATATATATATATATATATCATTGCACAAGCTGAAAAGCTTCTCGAGATATGGAAGTTTGGCGATACAACTATAAAAAGGAAATGTGTGCTTTACATTCACACAGAATGTATGAATTTATGTTCTTGCCTGTTGACCTCAAAATCCTTCAGAGTCTTTAACAGGCCATAGTAATTTTTGGTATAAATTTTCACTAGAAAGATCAAAAGCTCAAGATCAAAAGATAGTGTGCAGAAGCCAAAGTGTTAAATCAGACAGACTATTTTGATTCTGACTTTGACCTTTAAACCTTAAAATCCATAGGAATCTTCTATGGGCTGTGTGTGTGAGAGAGATAGGGTGTGTCTGTGTGATGGTGTGTGTGAGGGTGGGTATACATGTGTGTGTGTGTGAGAGAGAGAGGGTGTGTGTGTCTGTGTAAAATTTCATTGCAAAAGCTCAAAATCCTCTCGGGATGTCACAAAGAATTAAAGTGTAATAGATGGACAGCAATTCAGAACTCAGCTTTGATCATTGTTTGAATATGAACAACTATGCCTTGTGCTTTCGAAAACTTGTGTATTTCATTTGGCTAGACATCTTCTTGGATAAAAAAAATATTTTGACCCGTTAACCTTCACTTTTGCGCTTCATCTACATTTCAAAAAGTTTTATTTTTGGCATGACTTTACGATTAGAAGTCTCAGGTGGTTTTCTTTTGACAAGATCTTCCAAGGGAACCATTATTACTCATTGAAGGTTGTTTTTTTTTAAATATTAAACTTTGGCAATATCCTTTGAGTAGTTGGTCTAAATATTTGATATACACATGTAACACATTCTGAATTTCCTTCAGCACCATTGTTTACTTTTTTTATCTTGACCATGGAATTTGACCTACATTAGAGAAAAAAATCAATTTTGGCCATAAATCCTGAACAATAATCGCTGCGTCTTTCATTTTCTTCATGGGTATTTCTTGTAAAAAGATCTTTCTTTAAGTAACCTACTTTTTGATCTCTTGAAACATATATGTTTGACTTGCTTTAAAGACATAAGCCGTTGCAAATGGTTGTCAATGCGGAGCATCAGTGTTTCACAAACACATTTTCTTCGAATTAAATATGCATAATCTATACATGTACAGTCGCTAAAGATCTTCCAAATAAATTTTCAATAGATCGAAATCCAAATGATTTAATAAACTTCGAATAAATATATGACTTTTTGAGAATTTTTTTTTCTTCAAATAAGTCTCCTCATTCCAGTCCTACGTACCACAGACTGAAAAATGTCAACTTCATATAATCTAAGATTCTAGCGTGCAAATGCAACAATGCCATGTACCTATAATTTTGTAATTGAGGTGAAAAAAATATATTTCTTTAATAAATTTGCGACATCTTTAAGCATGAGGCTTGGTGTAAACTTAAAATCTGAAAATCTTCTGAAAAAAATGAAATTTTCTTATCTGTTATAGTACCTCTCTTACTTTTTTTTCTGCAAATTTGTTATTTATTGTATTTTTAAATACCATATTTAAAATAAATTTCATAATATTCCTCCTTGACTCTATATGTATTTGACTGTCAGTAAAGGAAACAAGAGTTCTATCACCTTGGCGTGTTTTATTGAACGTTTTTTAGCCGATAAATAAAATTAATGATAAAAATGTGGAATCAAAGAAAGGGGGTCATTTATCTTGATAAAAAAAACAAGGGCCTCAAACATGATTTATTAGTTTTCATTCATTTAGCTAGGTCTATTAGAACATGTACATACATGTACATCCAAATAAAGGACTAGCTATGATAACATTTATGTGCGAATTGCACTAAGTAAGTTAAACCGATTTCTGGCAATGGTGTTCCAAAGTCGGCGACCAGGGTATTTTCCAAAGCAGTTGTATATAAGCTTAGAAAAATAAATAAGATTATGAAGAAAATAAAGTAAACAGAACATTTTCATCACTCATGTTGGCTAGGTATAAGCCATTATTTGTGAGATCTTTTTATTCCCAAATCAGATGAGAACAATCGAAGGAAGATTGTAGAATGTCAGATATAACATTGGAAAAGATATTCACCAGAGTTTTTGTGGCATCCCAAAGGATAAGAATTTTTGGGTGTCCTGTTCATGAAAATAAAGACCTAACAAAGACATAGCATGAAGTATAACAGGGAATGTCTTAAAGGATTCAAAACCATTAAGAATATGCATTACTTACTTTTATTTGTAGCTGACATGTTGCATTATCAATTGAGGGCATAGAGTCTTATATCTAAGCATCAAAGAAAACGTACACTATCCAATACTCTGTTTACTAGGCCGTGTATCATTATATGTGTCTTCAATTGAAAAACATCACAAAAATATTCTTATTTTTGGGGGTAGAACCTATTGGGATTTAGTATGATAAAATGAAATTTCGAAGTGTTTCAAAGAGGTAATATCGACGCTGGCAATCGGGTCTAAAAACAAATTTTTTTTTTCAGGATATCAGCAAATTATATGTAAATCAAATTGCGCTTATTAAGTGAAAAATCAGTAAATATATAATAATTGCCTTGACTTACGCTTTTTTTCCTCCACTTCTGTTAGTCGACGAGACATTATAGCAGCTTTGATCTTGAAACGTTTTTTTTTAAAAAAATCATTATAAAGTTTAAATCAATTAGAATGTATTTGAAATATATTCTTTTGTAAAGATTTATTTGAAAATAACAAAATTATGAACTTGAATGATAACAAAAAATGAAAGAATACGGTGCTTGTTCCAATTTATGAAAGATAATGAAGGAAAACTTACAAGTAAAAGGAAGTCATAAAATATTCAAATGATAAATAGTTGTATTGGCCAAACTTACATTTATAGGCATCAGTAGAAATATACCTAGAGGGACATGGTTTGTTACTTTGAGTGCAGTCCAAAGAAAAATTGTTTTTAATTCTTTTCTCATCACGACTGAACATTGCACAATAGCCTAAAATAGAAAAAAAAACGCGAATAAAAACTTAATTATGCAATATTCAGATCTAGACATATATACATTATGCATGTAGAACTATATAAAAAATTACACATTATAAAAAATATATATGTTTGCTTATTAGTTTTTTTTTTCTTTAATATCTTATCTATTTTTGTTGTTTGTATATGACAGCTAAGCTCTCTTTGTTGATCAGTTAAAAAATATATCAAATTTTCTTTAAATGATAAATCCACATGTTAGTACTGTAGTAACTTAACTCAAAAATTTACTGCCTAGTGATCAGATTAGAGTAAATATCAATTTTCTTCGCATGATCTCTTTTTACATAGATTTCCTTAAATAATACCGCACTGTTTTCATTTATTTTTTTTTTTAATTTAACTTCAGATATATATTTACAACAATAAAATTCACTAGTAATTTCAAATTATTACCTGAAATAAACCAGGTCTGTGCGCAAACTTCAACCATGCCTGTGCCCCTTTGATTCAAAACGCAGTGGTACACAAACTTGGATTGACAGGTCTCATTATATTTCAATTCACAATTTATTTCCCTAGCTCTTTTGTCCCATTCTGTTTTGGTTATCGGACAAATAACATCCTCCCTTTGCATTGCTCCTTCACACGTACCCCCAATTACCTCGTCAAACTAATAATATAATTTATCTGCATTAAGAAGTCAAGAGTTATGTTTAACAGTGTGTTCTTGTTGATTTGAATTTAACATTAAAAATATTTTGATGTACGTGTACCAACAAAAAAAAAAACAACTGTTTTGAAATCTTTTTAAAACTGCATGTCCATTCATCGATTTGTGAATTTTTAAGATTTTTTTAAGTATTATGTTAAATGTACATGGAAACGTAGATGTGAGTGTCCCTACATTATATTTGCCAATAGTTTATAAGTAAATTTTGATGAAAGCAAATTATCCTTACCAGTGCAAAAACTACAAGAACAACGATATTGAAAAGAGCTGCCATTGAAAATAACCATTATTTATCTGAAATCTAAAAGAAAATCATATAAGACAGGATTAGTAAACAGTCTGAACTACAATATTCAATGCATAACCTACAGAAATAAGAATTTGTGTCTTTTAAATGTAGCCATTATTTAACCTTGAGAAAAGAAACATTTTAGCAACTATGCATATTCAGTTTACATTTTGATATTACTTGTTCACAAAGTTCTGTGCTTCATACATGTATGTATTAGCATTCACTTTTGAAATTACACAACCGTAAATAACTATTAAAACTACATATCAAATAAATATTTGTTACTTTAATTTATTCAACAGTTATATTGACATTGGCATTATGTCATTGTCAATGAACAATGCACAGCGATAATAAAGCACTGATAAACATCTCTTCCAGGTTTCGTGGTTTGTAGCCCAACATTAACATTAACACGAATGTTGTTAAGAAAAAAAACTCTGTCTTTTATACTACTCTATTTGAAACTCATACGAAAAGAACAGTTTTATGCACAGGAGTTCGCTTACCTATCAATTTTGCCGAAATTTTCGGTAAATAAAAAAAATACGTAATACCTATAATAATAACACGTCTTCATGCACGGATCTAGAGGGGGGGTTGGGGGGGGGGTCAGGACCCCCCCCCCCCCTGGGATTTACCAGGTAAAAAAATGTATATACTAAAACAAGAAAAAAGTTACCATGGACCCCCCTTGGAAAACGCAGACCCCCTGGTATACAATAATAAATGTGAAATGGGCATGAAAAGTTAAAGATTTGAGGCAATAGAAGTCACCACAACCCCCCCCCCCCCCCCCCCGAAATAGGTTTTTGACGTTTGGAAAAAAATTCTGGATCCGCGCCTGCGTGTTAGTATTATACGTACGTATTTTTTTTTACTTAAGGAAAATTTCGGTATAATTGATAGGTACGCGAACTCCTGTGGTTTTATGCTAGAAATTCAAAAAGAGAGGACTGACACTTTTACATTGCATTTTAGACCTATATATTTCAGCATTCCTAAATTGACAGAAGAATCTGAATAACCCTTATTATTTCATTGTTTCTATGGTTACATCCGTACCTTGTAACTTTCAATAAATCTACGAGAGCAACTTAGGCTGTTAAGAAAAACAAAGTTATACTTGCCTGCTTCTCCATAAGAACATGTGAAACCGAAAGTACATTTTGGGATTTCCGATAATGAACAGAGAAGTATTATTTAAAGAAGCGTCTTTTATTACTGTCCGGAATTTGCATGTCTCTTGAGAGAGAACTTTCGTTTTCATGTGTATATATGAAATAGGGAAAAACTCGTCAAAGTCTTGTCCAAAACAATGTAAATTCACGTAAAATTTGTTCAATTAAATCACAAAACGTAAACTGAATCGGTGGCGGATCTAGAGGGAGCACGGAAATTGCCCCCCCCCCTTTCCTGCATGACTGGGCCAAAATACTGTGGTGTGTGTGGGAGAGACATGACATAAGATTAAATATGTAAATTTAGATTATTCGAGCTTCGGATATTTGTAGTCATTTTTAAAACATGTTTGATACATATTAATTCATCATCAGAAATAAAAAAAAAATATTTGATATTTTCAAACATCAGATCTATCAATATTATTGTTATGTATTTATTCGTTGTTGTGGTGCTTGTAAAAATTCGAATAGTAGTTAATAAAAAAAAACAAATATAGCTTCCATTTTATAACAGTATACATATGCCCGTATGTAATCCATTCCCACATTTGTAAAAATTAAAAGATAAAATTATGAAATTAAAGTGGGACGAAACATCAATGAATTCTATTTTCATTTCTTAAAAAGTGCAGGTAAAAAAATACAAACAATATTGCTATTTTGTAAATAATGAATGATCATTGTAAACAAATACTAAGATGTGGCTTGTTTTCATCATATTTTGTGGGGGAAAAAATCAGAGACACCCTACAAGCATATATGGGTCAATATAAAAAAAAGCAGCTAAATGGTTCATATGAAAATTGGAGATACAATTAAATATTTCCGTTTCTTTTTTGTATCTAAATTGATAAAGCTGCACAATATTTTGGGAAAACAACATTTAGCAAACAGTAGGGAAGCTATTTTTTTCAGAATGTTCTCGTAAAAGTTATCAAATTGTGTTTTTCTGTCATTGGTGTTACCTTATAAAATTTTGTTGTATAGAATCAATTAAAAAACTTATGAACGCAAGCCATGATAAAATGTTCTAGGATTATTCAAATTTACTGATAAGTCCAAAATATCGTTGTCCAGTGATGAAAATTAAGTTTTCAATCATATTTGGACATTGACATGAGACAAAAATAAATAGACACTAAATAAAAAATGCTGTAAATGTGGTGCCATGTGTGTACAGTTCAAAATAACATAATTTATGACTTTTTTCAAGGAGTGAAATTAGGTAATATAAAGTTATTTCTTACATTTAAACTTATTAAAAGTAAAAAATAACAAGTTTTAGGTTGGTTACTCCACTGACTCAACTGTAACACCAATGATCGAAATTAGTAATACTAATGACTTAGCACTTAACAATTAGCATTGAAACATAGTATAACATGAAACTTCATGTGATAGACAGAATACACTGCATGGCTAACATACAAAAATGAAAAAAAGTTTCTGGGATTTCATACTTAAAATGATCTTATAACAAAAAGAAATCTGGTAACACCAGTGACAGAATAGTTAACTTTTATGGTAACACCAATGACTGGTGAAGTAACACCGGTGACAAGAGATATGCAGTGTTTGTTAATCATTTGTTTGAAAAAAAATAATGTTTGTAGGGTAAAAGGGTCTCAGTTGTGAAGGATATGATGTTTTAAATCCCACATTCTTCATTAGAGAACTAGAAGATAAAATTTATTAATCAAAATCTCTTGTCACCGGTGTTACTTCACCGGTCATTGGTGTTAGCATAAAAGTTAACTATTCGTAGAGAGATTTATACAAACTAAGTTAAACTTGACTAATTTTACTTTACTTGGGTGATAAACTCTGACATTCATGCACGGCCAGTGAATTTTTCAGAAGGGAAAATATATTTTTTGAGCATAAAAAAGGTGTTACATGTATATGATCTGAAGTTGTCATTGGCATTACCAGATATTTAAAATTCCGTACGTGGAAAAAAAAATTATTGGAAAATAAATCAATTACTTTCAAATACCATAAATTAGGTTTGCAAAGTAGAATACTAATAAATAATTTTTCAATATAAGAAGAATATATTTTGCCTCCAAAAGTACTTGTTTTGTCAATGGTGTAACCATTCCTGTCATTGGTGTTAAACTTTAGAAAGTAATGCCAATGACCGTAACACCAATGACGTATTAGTCATAAAATGATCTAATATTTCTAAAAGTTTTGTCAACATTGCTTTTAGTTTCCCTAAAGAACATCTTTCGTAAAAGAGTTCAATGAATATCTAAAATCGTTTTGAAATAACGATGGAAACACCACTGACAAAAAAAGTTTGTACTAGTGTACTTTTTTACTTCTGGAGTCCATTAATATGTTCTGATCATGAATATCAAGGAGTAGTTTCTGTTGATTTTGGTGAGAAGTGATGTAATATGACTTAGGACTGTTTATATTTTCTTATCAGGAATGATAACTCTTTTGTAGCAAAAACAAAAATAGTAACACCAATGACGCAACTTTCCTGTACAGTCATATTAAATGCTGTATCAGTTAAATGGAAGGTGGGGCTAATATTTTTTTATTCAAAGATATATTCTATTTAACGTTTATCTTATGTATACATGATTTTTCAGACAAAATTTCATATAATTTTTGGCATATTTATCCTTATTTGAAGAGGGAAATTCCATTGACAGCATGTATTTGGCTGATTGGTGTGATAAAATCATCCACTACCTTTAATGAAATTAATTATGTGAAAATTTCTATTAGTAAATAGAAAGTACATATGTCATAGATTGGAAAGCAACAATCCAAAATTGGGAGAAAATAAGAAATAGGATTTTACAAAAAGTGACACATTTAGCTGCTTTTTTTTATATTGACCCATGTATATTAGTCGCTGGGGGTTTACATTTAAGAAATGTGTTTGTGCTATCACAATGTGAGTAACAATCTGATATTAAATACAGTGTAACCTCTATCAAATACAACCTTCAAGAAAAAATATTAAGTAAGGGATGCGAACTGGCTTGTATGTCTAGTTTAACAAATTAAACGAGAAAATAGCTGATGAAGCGAGGTGGTATCCAAAATGGCGTCCTCCCTTGTGTTTTTTTTTCCACCGAGGTACTAATTTTTTAACTGATTTATTTTCTCTACAAAAGCCCCTGTGATTTAATTTTGTACCCTAAATATGAGAGGGTTGATACTCGCACATGTATACATGTACGTGTATAAGGAGTCTCCGATCGTTACGTACAATAAAGGTCAAGGTCATAGCAAGAAGTCAAAGGTCGAATTTTGGTACTTCATCTACAGCTATGTATTTGTATTATAGAATTGACATCATATTTCACTTTTTACCAGTATAAATATTACTCAATGAATATGAGTAGCAAATGGGTTGTCTTAGTAAATCCCATTACACAAATGTGCAATAGATCAATTGATAATTTTGAAATAAGGTTCTTTCTTAAGTCGAATGTCTAAATTCACAATCTTCTTACAGGGATCTGATAGACCACACTACATGTATGTGGAAAAAATGTAAGGTTGATTATTTTTTTCATGATCTTATATAAAAGGAGATTTAGAATCCTAGAACAAATTTATCAAAGTTTCAAAAAATTTAATTTGCGAAAAATGTCGGCCTATCTATTATATTGTAGAGTATCTATATGTCTAATAATTAAAACTTCTTTAAGAGATTGTAAAATTATCTTTCAGGTTGCCATAATTTAACTTTCGGAAATGATGCTAACTTGACATCTACAAATATTAAATTGCCTATTACATTCTAAAACCGTACTTAAGGGATAGACCTTTGTCTTATAAGGACTTTATAGTTTTAAA